GGTACCGCTTGGACAGCTGAGTGAGATCCGCCCCGGCTGCGCATTCTCCCACTATTCCCGGGCTGCGTTGCTCCCCTCAAAGCACGTCGGTAGAATAGCCTGCGACTCTTCGCAGAGCCATGGTCAAGATGCGGATTCCCATCCGCGAACAGTTGGGATGTCTGGTTCTGCTGGCGTCCATGATAGGCCTGGCCGTCATAGCCGTCGCAACATGGGTACATATCGACGCTGCATACTCGTCCATGCTGGTACTGACTTTGCCAGCTCACCAACCACAACTTCGTGCTCAACATCCGCTCGACTCGCCTGACGCTGACAGCCTCGCTCAAAGCCGCCCAGCTCTCCTCGAATCTGAACTTGATGCAAATCCTGTCCCAGCAGGCTGCGAACCGCCTCTCCCCACAGGCCGCCCTCAACCGATACTACGACGGCAACACCTCGGAGACGAACTGGGCCCGAGTCGAGGAGGACTACGATGCCATCTTCTCTGGTGATATGCGGACCCGTGTGGCTGTCCAGGCCCAGATATACCCCTTCAATTCCTCCGAGCGCTCCGTCTTCCACCGGACCGCACAGAGCATGACGGACGTTGTGCTGCCCATACTTAAGCCCGACGGCACGAATGCGACGCTAGGCGACAACGAGTACGGCTTCATTCCCGAGCTCTACCCAAAGTTCTCTGTTGAGACGATTCCCTACAACGACACCTTCAACACCTACAAGGCACACTACGAAGGCAGGACCATTGACAACACGAGCTACCTCTTCACCGGGCCCTACCGCGTCAACGAAACACTCAGCTTGGTCTCAGTCACCATACCCATCATCAACAACACGTCCAACATTGACACTCTAGGATGGCTGACGGCTGTCCTGGACGCGTCGCTGATTACCAATGTCATCAACGCCATGGAAGGTCTAGACAACAGTGGTCTTACCCTGCTGTTCGGCCCGGACAATGCCACGAATACCTTTCCTCCGGCATATCTGTACGACGCCGATACCCCCAACGCTCCCGAGAACGTACAGGTTCGCTACCTCGCCCCGCCAACACAGCGAGCAAAGGTGCAACGGCATGGCCAATACGACACCTCTCTTGATCCGCCTCCATTCGACTGGGCAAGATATCCCGCCATTCGCAAGGGTTTCACCAAGCCTACCGGCGCCACCAACAATGCTGGTAGCATCATCTCTACTAGAAACGAGGATGGCGACGATGTTGCCGTTGGGTACGCTGTCGTTAACAGTCCCATGGTCGACTGGATGATTGTGGTAGAGCAAACCCACGATGAGGTCTGGGGACCCATCTACCACCTCCGGAACGTCATCCTTGCCTGTGTCTTTGGCACAATGGGTGCAATGCTACTTCTGGCGTTTCCCGTGGCACACTTCTCCAGTCAGCCCATCCGAAGATTACGCGACGCTACCAAAAAGACAGTAGCGCCTCACATGTTTGAGGACGACGACTTCAGCTCGCAAAACGATGGCGCCAACGACAGTTCGGAAGATGCGGCCCTTGCCCGCAAAGAGGGCTTCTTTGGTCAAATCATACATTACCGGAGAAACGCAAAAATGAACCGAGCAGAGAAGAAGGAAGCCGAGAGGCGGAGACAGTTCCGCATTCCAGGCAAAGTCAAGGATCGTAAACACTTCATTCACGATGAACTCACGGATCTGACAACGACCTTCAACGAGATGACGGATGAGTTGATGATGCAATATGAGAAGCTGGAAGAGCGGGTGGCACAAAGAACAGCTGAGCTCGAACAGAGCAAGAAGGCGGCCGAGGCGGCAAACGAGAGCAAGACGCTGTTCATTGCGAACATCTCGCACGAATTGAAGACACCACTCAACGGTATTTTGGGCATGTGCGCCGTGTGCATGTCGGAAGACGACCCAAACAAGTTGAGACGGTCGCTAGGCATCATCTACAAGAGTGGAGACTTGCTACTCAATCTATTGACAGATCTCTTGACGTTTAGCAAGAACCAGGTCGGTCAACAGCTCAGTCTTGACGAGAAAGAGTTCCGGCTACGGGACATCAGCTCTCAAGTCTTGGCCATTTTCGAAAAGCAAGCAAGAGAGGGCGGCATCAAGCTCGCTGTCGAATTCGAAGGACCATACGAGAACAACCTGGACGATAGCGGACGGCCGAACGAGCTTCGCGACCTCGGACCTTTCGGGCTTGGTCGACTCAAGGACATGGTTCTGTACGGCGATCAACATCGAATTCTTCAGGTGGTCATCAACCTGGTATCGAACAGTCTCAAGTTTACGCCACAGGGTGGTTCAGTCACGCTCACTATCCGTTGTCCTGGAGAGGCACACATGTCAGACAGTCGCAAGGCGTCTCTGCAATCAAGGCAGAGCTCAACGCGCAACTCGAAAACTCGCGTAAGAGCCTCCGCATCAGAGGTAGGATCCGTCTCAATTGCGACACCGAGCGACAACTTCGGAACCGCCAACGTCATCAACGTCATGGGCAAGGGAGATGCGTTCTCCCGCTATATGGCTCAGGAGCGAGCCCCAACACCCCCACCGGGACGGTGGTTGTCTTTCGAGTTCGAAGTCGAGGACACTGGTCCAGGTATTCCCGACCATTTACATGCCAAGATATTCGAGCCTTTCGTCCAGGGCGACTTGGGTCTAAGCAAGAAGTTTGGTGGCACCGGTCTTGGCCTGAGTATCGTCTCGCAGCTGGCTGGTTTGATGAAGGGCACGATCGGTCTCAAGAGTGAGGTCGGGCACGGAAGCGTCTTCACTATGGTAATACCGTTGAAGCACCTTACAAGTCGGGCCGACAGTACAGCCAGCTCCAGGAACGTGAACCTGGAAACCGGGACACCGCGCCGTAGCTTATCGATCGACGAGCCGCCGCGAGGTCGCTCACATGATGACGCGCTTTCGGCCCGCTCGATACAGTCCGCTACAAGTGGCCCGATCGTCGCTGGGAACACCGCTGCTACTGCTCCGTCCGGGCCAGTTGCATTCGACACCGATACCCAGCCTCGTCTTGTCGGTCTTAGTCAGCCTTTCTTCGCTTCGAATGCGCCATTGGAATCACCAAACTCGCAGGTCGCCGCTATGAAGCGTGTTGAAGCCGAAGCAACAAAACGTGGAGACAAAGTAAAGGTCCTCGTCGCCGAAGACAACAAGACAAATCAAGAGGTTGTACTGCGCATGTTGAAGCTTGAAGATGTGTACGATGTCACTGTCGCAAAGGACGGTCAGGAAGCGCTCGACTTGGTCATGGAAAGTATGGAACGCAAAGCTCCATACAACCTCATCTTCATGGATGTCCAAATGCCCAACCTGGATGGTCTGCAATCAACGCGACTGATCCGACAGTCTGGTTTCTCGGCCCCCATTGTCGCTCTGACAGCTTACGCGGAGGAGAGTAACGTGAAGGTATGTAATCAGCGTCCTGATCTCGCTACTGTTATACTAACAAGTCATAGGAATGCCTCGACTCAGGCATGGACTTCTTCCTCTCGAAACCTATCCGCCGACCCGCCCTCAAACACGTCCTCAAAACATACTGTCCTACTATTCCAGAAGAAGAGTCGGACACAACGCCACCCGGTTCCGCGGTCTTGACGCCGAAGCCGAATGGTGTAGCGGTGAAGCCTGCCCCACCAGCGGCGGGGTCCACGGCGCCATTCACCATCGTCTCGGGAACGAGCGATAACCGGCGTACCGATGAATCGCCAGCCATATCGCCCATGACCTCGCCCGCAGCGTAGCGCTAGTGAGGCATTATCTTGCTGCGCTCTCATCTGATCTTTCTCGCTGGATTCACCATCTCTTATCCAGCGACACCTCTGTCTACGAAGTTCCTTGTAATGTCCTAAGCACGATACCACTTAATCGCTACTTTTCTAATCTCGTTTGCGAATTACCAGTTTTCCATTTTCTTTTGCAGCAAATGTACATAGCAAGCATGGCGCTGGTCGGGTACGGGTCGATTCCCTTTTTTTCTTCTGCTGGTTACAAAACATCTGGGTGTGCGTTTTGGCGTTTACTCTTGGGCCTGCAATTGCCAGAGCCTTCTTATCGCTGGGCTTATTTCTTTGGAGAGATTCTGATTTGTCGTCATCCTTGAGGGTGTTTACTTGGTGTTGATCAACGGGGCGATGTGACGTCCGGCAGGGTCTTTTACTAGGCAACAAAACATTTGGTGGGGATCTGGAATGAATCAATTGAACTTATCTTGTAACGCCGTGTTGGCTGTTGCGCATCACTTATACTGTCTGAATTGGTTGTCTGTGAGTGTGTTGTCCTTGCGATACTCTGCGATATTCTGCGATACTCTGCGATATTCTGCGATACTCTGCGATGGATGTAAATGTTTCAAGAGATGAAAGATCTTGCATATTGAACCACCTCATACAATGAAGAGACCGAACAGATGCGCTGCAGTCTACGTCGGCGTAAAAACGTATTAAGAAGACTATAGATCCGAGAAGAGGAAATGGGTACAACAAAGCAGCCGAAGCTGGTAACTCCCCTCGACCAGTGTCCACCGAAAGCGTCATAATGAAGTGTATATATTTTGAAGGGGCCTGCTGTGTGCGGGGCCGAAGCTTTCGAAGAGTGCTAGTAACGAGAGCGAAATATATGACACTGAAACTAGTAACACCAAAATGGGCACGAGGACCCAGAACATATAGTAACAAAATTCCATTGCAATCTGGTCTTCTAGGCTGACAACCTTCTATGAGTGCTTAGACTTTTCCTTGGACGTTGTGATACTATGAACTCTTTTACAGACTTCCTCACGTAAGATGAAGGAAAGTGTAATGGGTTGATCTGGTCTTCTTATATATCGGAGGACTACAGTAATATGAGATTGACCCTAAGTGTCTTGTAGCATCGAATGTTCCGTCTGCTGGCCAATGATACCCCTTCGTGCCTCCCTAGTCTCGACTCAAACAGTAGTATCCAGGACTAAGCTCGGATGTTCCAGACGCTGACCAACAGCTCATACGCGTCCAAAGCCGTCACATGGGAAAAAGAAGAGCGCTCGGGTCGGGAGGAGCTTTCAAGCCGGCCATAGCCCTCACAAACGCATCGTCTTCCGACCTATCTTGTTGTGAATCGCCCACGAGGTCTTCGTCAAGGATGTCAATATCAGTACCAGAGTGACCATGAATAAACGCCATCATAGAGTCGCTGAGGGAGGCAGGAGGACGGCGCTGGAGGCGAAGGGCTTTTCGCATCCTCTTTATCCACTTTGCCTGCCAGTCTTCCTGCGAAAGTGCGTAGTAATCTGAGACGTTGTACTCTTTGCGGTAGTTCATCTCAAAAGCAAGCACAGTGACTTTAGCGCCTTCCTTCATCAACGTGTGAACCACTTTGAGGGAGCGCTCCAGAGCCGGCATACAGTAGATGTGATCACCGTCCCATTGGAGCTTGATCGTCAGGTGGAAACCCTTCTTGACACGCACGTCCAAGAGCCCTTCGAAACAGTGCTGGAAGATGTCTTGGCCATTTTTGGTCTGAATAGAGTGTTCCATTTGGCCCTCGTCTTGAAGGAAAGCGTACTCCTCCAAAGAGAGCTCTAGACGGCGAATGTGGTCGAGAGGTTTGACGCCGAGGTGGAAGTGATCTTCAGACAGGAAGTCGGTTAGTTCGTGGAGGTGATAAGCATTCAACTGACGGCCGGACATGTTGCGATAGTATGCTTTGGCGACTTCCACGGCGACGTCCATTCCCACATACTGGTGCTGGACCCAGAGTGGAAGCTCCCACCAATGGAAACAACGACAGCTGTCTCCCCTGCAGGGTACGGACCAAGGCGCCAAATTGATCTTGTCTCGCACCCGACGACCAGTGAACGCGCGGGACCGTGGGAAACCCCTAGTGTTCGAAGTCTTCTCGTTCAAGGTCACGTCATGGAAGACCAGCCTGAGCATGGGCTCATCCCAGACGTAGTCGTAGACCATCTCGCGGAGCTCTGGTGGTAGAGTGGTGTGGAACTTGTCGACGAATTTGCGGCAGAGCTTCTCAGCGACGATGCGGGTGAGGTGATGACACTCCTTGCCCACATTTGTTCGCCTGATTTCGAGCTCTGCAACCTTGCTCTTGAACTTGTCGAGCCTGTGTGGGAGTTTAGATATGATACCTTACGAGATCGCTCGAAAAGAAGACTTACTCGGTCTGGACGGATATCTCTTCTGAGAGAAGCCTGTACGGTGTGAGTAATCGTTTGTAGCTGTCGCTGTTGTGATCACTGACCTTGACAGCTCTGCCTCGGTAGCCTCGAGCGTAGGCCCATCGTCGCGGAAAGGGGTCGCGCTGGCCATACTGAGAGATCAGGTATAGATGCTGATCTGAGGGTGTTTCTTGTGAAAGTATCGGGAGTCGTAGGCGTGGGATCCATGGATATTGGATATCAGGGTCCGCGCTAATGACGCGCTAACGCGATACTGGTGGTGTCACGAGAAAGGGACCGAGCTTTGAGACACTGGGCAGTTACGACGTTCGTGTTTCCGTTTAAGAGAAAGGGTATGAGTAGAATGCTGATTATGATTGAGACAGTCTTTCCGACCTTGGTGTCGCGCGCGTCTATAGTCTAGAATCTTGCATCGGCCCGTCCTCGTCGTCCATTGCGGATGTGTGTATGACGGCCTCGCGGTGTATCTGTCTTTTCGAGCCTCCGTTTCCCCATTTGCATATCCCAATGCCTCATCCGCCGTTCCTCCATACCTTGGTCCCTTCTCGCCAACTGCCGGCGCTTGTCTCGTCCCGGAGCCTAGTACCATCTTCAAAGCACGAAGCCTCAGAAGAGTACAATTGCCCGACCGCAGGAGGAGCACAGTCCATTCCAGACTGTTGCTGTACGCCCAAATGTGGCGATGGCGATTGAGAAGGTCGGGAGAGGAAACAGTACTTCTGAAGTGGCATACAGCGCAGTTCGCAATCCTTATGGATAGCCTCGATGTTTTGCCCCATCACCTATCATAGGGAGCGTCCGTCCTCATGATGTAGATCTCGCCAACAAGAACTACCAGACCGACGAGCATGGTGATCGCGATGATGGGCAGATTGACGCGCGCAAACTCCAGACCACCAACACGGATGTGCTTTCTGCCCAGAATATCGCGCCAGAGCATGCCCGCCAGCGATGCACTGAAGGCGAGACTGAAAGCACCGTAATTCACACCAATCGCCATGCTGTATATCGTGCCCCAGAACGTTCGATCGGATATTGGAATGCCGTTTTGACGGTGGATTTCTTGCCACGATTGTACCACCCTAGAGATCAGAATTGTGGTGCCGATGTTAGTTCCAGCAAACTGGTCCAAGGTTAGCTACTGGAGTTTTATGGTGAAATGGACACTCACGTTACACAGTATGACTGAGACGAAGCCCATGCCTCCAATCGCACCAACCGTCCCTGTCTTCTCAACCCAGTGGTCCCACCCATGTGCAAAGACCGGAACCCAGCCCTTGGTGACCAAAGCCTGGACCAGCACGAACATGCAAAAGGCGAAAGGAACAAGCGCCAGCGGGAGGTGGTGGAATACGGTCATAGTTGTCGGAAACGTCTCCTGTGCCCATCTATACGTGTCTGCGACGAGTGACGAGAGTGTGGTTGGCATCGGCCTCTTGGCTGGCTCTAGCCTCTTCTCGTCCTGCGATACGAGTTCAGCGCCCATCATCTCCCGTGTTCGACCGCTCAATATGTGACTGGACGCCTCAGCCAATGGCCGCGACTTCTCCTCGGGGTTCTGGGCCGTTTTGTGATCCGCTTGAGTGGCGGTCGCGTCCAGCTCTTCTTGTATGACAGACTGCCTCCTAGTCTCAGCTCTTTCAGCAAGTGCGGCCTCTGCTCTGCGTCGGCCCTCGTGGGCGATCTTACGTGTCTCTGCCCGGTTGAGCCAACCCATTGTGAGATCGAAGATAAGCATGACGAATGCAGCGGGTAAAGTGACCCAGAACACCGGACGTTCATGAGAGCCTTGAGAGGCAGCATTGATCGCCAAGACAGTAATCAGTGTAGCTGCCATGATGGCTGCTCCAAACATTGCGCCTTTCCTATCCAAGAAGGGGTTCAGGACTTCCTCGAGGGATAATTTCTTCTCTTGTTCGTCGTCGTCACTGTTGGGATCGCTTTCGTTGTCTTCGAGTGCACCTTTGGCGAAGGGAATATTGGGATTGACCGGTTTCTTGTTCTATTGGAGGAAGCTTTGTCAGCACATACTATAACACCTCGCTTGTGGGAGTGCTTACCTTGAGCTCATCTGGAAGATCTTCCATCTTGATAGAGGCGGGGATGAGAGATTCGTCGTGGAAGATGATGTACAACAAGAAAGGATACAGTACAACTCCCGTGACAAGAACTGGTACGATAATGTTGGCCGTGTACTTGATGAATGTGATCCCAAACGCGCCGGCCAAGACTAGATTGGTCGGATTGGATGATACCAGTATCGCCGATGCGATGTTGGCGACCGAGAACTGTGTGAAGATCCACGCCCTTGGATGCTTGATGTTGCTTGATACACGCGTCATGTACGACAGGAACGCAGTGCCAGACAAAATGACCGGATCGTTACCGATGAACGCAGTGAGAAGGAAGAAGAAGGCATACAGGTAGAAGAAAAGCCGGTGACCGACTTTCCCTCCTTTCTGCAACACCTTGAAAGCTAGCCATCTAATGAGACCGGAAGCATCAACAGAAATGGCGATGTAAGCAAGAGAGAGGAAGAACAGCATGATATCGTATGGAACAATACCCTGATCACCCAAGGTGCCACCCTTTACTTCTTTTGCGCCAATAGCAAGGATGGCTAGTAGAAAGAGATCCGCTACCAGAGGTGTCGTTATGAAGTTCATGGGAAAGTCGAACCGGACGAATGGTCCACGCTTGCCATTCCGAACCCTCGTTGGGTGTTGTGGTGGTGCAATGATGCGCAACGCGCTCATGGTCTTGACAAATGGGGTCCATATTATCCGCGGCACATAGATGGGTATGTGGAATGGAAAAAGAACATTGATGTCTACAAACATTGGCTCGTTAGTCCGCCATCTGCAATGTCAGTACACACACGCTACTTACTTGTCAATACGAAAACAATGAGCGTCACTATAGAGCGCCACTCTTTGATCTTGCTAGTATCAAGGTCAGGCCTCTCTGTCTCTGTGGCGCGCTGGTTCAACATGTTGCGCCCCGTTGCAATGCTGGAAATCCACACTGCAAGAAGATCTTGGGGCCAGAAAAACCCCCAGGAGGTGTCCTGACGTTTAAAACGTGCAAGAACAAGCTTTTGGGTTCTGGGTAAGGGCCGATTGATGGGTACGTACGCCCGCTAGACGTTGCAGGCGATCTGTGAGCCGGCGTGCCTGGACCTCCGTCGCAACCGTGGACTTCAGTACCGATGCCGAGAAATTGCTTGTACGATGACGCGCGACATGGGCATAGCGGCAGGCAAGTGAGGCTCTTGTATTGTCGCGACATCTGCAGCCCAGGAGGCTGAGCTCGCAGCCCAGGATGACAAGATGATGGCATCTCGGCGCCGGTTGGGCCGCTAGCAAGTAGCGCCTCCCGTATCGAGAAAGGGTCCAGCGCTGACAGGTCATGCCTTCCACTCAGCCTCTCGCCCTATGCAACTGCGACAGGCGAAGACGATATAGTTCACCGGTAATCTGCATTGCCCCAAACCATTGGAGATCTACATGGCACGCCTTACCCCGGAGTCGCGCCCTTATGCGCGCTGCGCAATACCTATGCCGCTGCTCTTCCTTCGTGACGGCTCATCCAGCAATGTCTTCATCTCATCTGTCTTTACCCATACCAGGGAAGCATGTCTGCAACTACAGCGCTATCCGATTTTGCGACCGCTACTTCGTCCGCTACAACGTCTAGCCCAACGCTACAAGTTGTCTGTGCCTGGCCCATCTCGTCCAACTATGGAGCAGGGTCGCGTGTTAGTTCCAACTCCTTCCCACGTGTAGAGTGGGTCTGGACCTATCAGAAAACTGATGCATGAATACAGATCCTGTACTATGTTCTTGTTGCCGCATGTGTAACTTTTCGCAAAGCAGAATGGCTACGGAACACCTGTCTGGCTGCCGTTTTAATTCTGCCGGCCATCTCGGCCCTGCAGGCCCTCGTGCTAGCAGCCGCGCATACGAATGGTCAGTATAACGGCCACCAAGAACTCCAAGAAGCGCATTTCTGACCAAGAATCCTAACAGGCGGCGTCGATATGGACATTTACGGCGTAAGTTCTTGGTGCCAATATGCTGTGCGACAAACACTGATCGATCGTTTTCGCCTGGGCAGGCTTTCCAGTTTTGCGCAATTGGCATTTTAGCAGCGCCTCTCACTGTGAGATTATCGCGAACTTATTTCCAGTCTCCCGGTCGCAACATCATATTTCTCTGGACGATACTGATCCTAATGGGGCTGTTGGCCCTCTGCGTCGAGTTCTACCGGGTCACTCCAACGGCCTGTAGCAGCGACGATAATGGGAACCCTTTCCAAGGTGCCGCTAACTTTCCGTACGAGCATGCTACTTGCAATCTGACTTGTTCTGAAAGCGTGGGTCCGAATTCTCCGATGCGAGGCGGATCTGCTGCCGACGTCTATGTCATTCCCGTGCCGCGCATCCTGACTTTCAACGCCGCCATGCTGCTCTCGGCCGGATTTTGCATACCTGCGATACTGTCCCTGATCTTCACATGGGATAAGATTCTGGAGATCAACTGGAAGAGACGACGTCACGTGGAGCCGCTAGACGCTCGGATCGAGGGCGCCAACATGACCGTTGGAGAGATGAAAGGCATCAACAACGTCGTGAGAAAGTTCTTGAGTGTCATAGAGATCCCCTTATTCGGCGGGGTGATCATCACAATCATTGGGGTTGGCGAAGCAAATTTCTTCAGTCCTCAGGTGCGGTATATGACGGAACCTATGGCTTCGATTGGTGAGTAGTGTAGCGCAGTGGCATGTTCGGTGCTAACAGAGTCCCCAGGGCAATGGTCACCCATAGCTGGAACAATATTGGCCGCACTTGGGTCTCTATATATCCTGTGGTCGACTGGTGGTGATGAGGCTCCGCAGGAGAAGCATGTGGACCATTGTGAGAACTCTGGTTCATCGCGCCCAAGTCGTAGTAGCGAGCGACGACCATCTCCGCGGCCTCCTTCCTCCACCTACTTCAGCCCCAAGGGTATGGCAGAGAATGGCTTGGGCATACGCTCAGAGTCGCCCAATGCTATTGAACTGATCCCGACGATCACGCATCCCGGCTCCGAACACCCTCAACCCAGCCCTTCTTCTTACGATGATCAACAAGAGAATACCCAAGCTGATCAGCCGACAGCCGGTAGAAACGTTGTGCGTAAATGGCTGACGTCTGCTGGCAATTACCTCGGCGACGCTGCGCATGAGAAGCTCGATACAGATCATGTCGGCAATGACGAAGACACTCATAGGTTTCCCGAAGTTCCTGGCGAAATCCTACGAAATCCCGATCTAGAAAGGATCAGTCGCACGTACAGTAAGCTTCGCGAAGAAAGGGAAAACAGCATATATGCGGCAAGTATTGCATCTACATCAGGTATCGAGGGCAGTACATCTCCGCCACCTATACAGGATTCGCCGCGTCCCGATATCAGCCCTGTCCGACGACCAGAACGAAGGGCTACGCTGGAAGTACCGAAGGAAGCGCATCGTAGGAGCGAGAGCCATTGAACGCTTATAGGCCAAACCAGGCTTCCGATACGGTCAGATGCGAAGGAACACTATGGCCTACCCCTACTGCCCAGATACCTTCGACACTCGGTCCGAAGTCGTCGGTGCGGTAGTTGCGCTCTGGCGTATCTTTCTTCGAGCTTGTCGGCGTGGTACTAACGCCAAGAACGTTAGTCCACTGCTTCAGCGTCTCGTCATAGTTCTTCGGGCTCAACGTTCCATCTACCGAGCCATGCCAGAATTCTTGAGAAGTCAGTACTTGGTTCACGAGCGTACAAGACTTGGAACTTACGCATGCGCGGTCGTGTTCCGTTATACCCGGGATACATCCCCCGAACTACGTCACCCCAGTGCTGCGCAGTCGAGATAGACTGCCCGCCAGAGCAGGTGTTATTCCATGCTGCTGCTGCTCCGGATGCAGAGACGAAACATCCAGCCGGTACACCCGAGTATAGAGACACTGCGCTAATGAGCTCGGGATAGGTGGCGGCCAGAACGTTGCTCATCATGCCACCTGAGGAGCCACCCGTAACGAACACTTTCTTGGGGTCGATCTTGTACTTGTCGATCGCATAGATGATCATGTTCGCGATCGCGTTCGAATCGCCACCGCCACTATGCGACAACGAAGCTTTGCTGGACACGTCCCAGCATTCAGTCGTGGAGCTCGGCCAGACCGTCACGTAGCCTTTGCTGTCCGACCCTTTCTTCCATGGAATCAGGGAGTTTTGGAAATACTTCTGTGCCGACGACTGGCATGAGTGGATCGCCACGACTAGCGCATCGCTCTTGACCTGGTCAGGCACATACACCCACCTGAGTAGCGTGTCAGTCAGTTGCAACCTTGGAAAGGAGGGGCGCGGATCACTCACATGCCTGGCTTTGCTCGCGCGCTACCGCCATAGTTGGGGATCTGTGTCAATTGCGCAGCGAGAACACCCGAAGCAAGTGCGAGGGTTGCAACAAAGGTTCGGGTAAGCATCTTGGAGAAGCTGGGTAGTTTGGCATTTTTCATGTGTGAGCTTGGTCACTATATACGCCCACAAGCTCCGTATTGGCAGAGTGGGGTCGACTGCCATTCGTGGAAGTCGATATCTTCGTCTGGTCATGCAATGTCTGAAGTCTGTGGCGCCACATGAAGTACAACGTTCATCAGAGCGTGTGTTAGGTAGCTCCGGATAAAGGGCAAGGTGCTCGCAATCAAGCTTCACACCAAGCATTTTTCGCACATTACCCGCATATGTCTGTATCCCTGCACTCCACGTCTACTACTTTGCGACTGCCGATTTGAAACACAAGGAATTGATGTTACTGGTCGGACCATCCTCAGAGTCTAATCCAGGCACTCTAAGTGCCGAACGAAGCTTGACGTCAGGCGCAGCTTTTAGACAAGCCTCGCGAGGCCTGGAAAGTAGCGCAATATAAAGACAGGGCGATGAGCAAGCACTGCTTACTGAGGCCCGCGGATAGAAGGGTGGCTGCGCTGAATATCTGGTACGTTAATTGAGGCCGACATTGGTGCCATGTGGGGAGCTTCGCGAAGGTCGTCCTGCTTTCTCTGAGGAATTTTGAGCAGACGAAAAGACATAATTGCCTCCTAAGAATAGATCAGCTTGCTCGAACAGTTCCTTGTAATCGCATTCCGCTCAGGGTAAGGACATTCACGATGTGGCGACTTCTTGCATCCATCACCGTACTCTTAGCCTGTCGGGTCTCCGCTCATGGCGGAGCTCTGAACTATACTGTTGGAGACACATGGTACCCTGGGTAAGGTCAAGATGCAATGTCCTCAAAGAATGTAAACAAGTCGATCCAGTTAACGCTCTTCATAGCTACGATCCTTATGGCGACCAGGCCATGCAGGATGCTGCCGCATGGATGCCACAACGCAAATGGATTTCCAACAACCCCATTTTCGAAACCACCAACACGTCTCTTTCCTGCAACACCCCTGGTACACCCGCTCGCGCATACATACCCATTCGCGCGGGCGATAACATAACCGCCGTGTACTCGTACTGGGTGCATACTGTCGGTCCTATGATAGCCTGGATGGCATACTGCGACAACGCCGAGAATGACTGCACGACCTTTTCTAGCGAGACGGCAGATTGGTTCAAGATCGGCGAGAAAGGGTTGCTGGAAGGTAGCATCGAGACTGGAGAGTGGTTCCAGAAGGTGTTCAGTATGTGGGACGGAAGTCCAAGTCTATGGAGTGAAACGGTGCCTGTGGGGCTGAAGGCGGGAAGGTACTTGGTGAGGCATGAGATTATCAGCTTGCATTCCGCGAATAGTACGTCCAAGGTTGCTTCCTCCAGATGCAGCTCTTTGAGGATGACGAAAGGTGCAACGCGCTAACTATCTGGGGTGGCCAGAACCACAATTTTACCCCGAATGCGCGCATTTGGAAGTCACGAACGATAAAGCGGAAGGATCGATTCCTAGCGAGAAGTATATGGTCAAGATTCCAGGCGTGTGGAGTATGGACCGTACGTATGCGAATGGCCGGGTATAGAGCATGCGGCTGATGATAGATAGAACCTGAGATCAATATCGACATTTACGATCCCGAGGTCTCGGCAAAGACGGTACGCTCGATAGAGACACGGGTTGCTGCAAAAGCCTTGTGCTGACGAAATCACCTAGGTATACAACATCCCGGGTCCACCTGTATGGACTGGAAAGCTGTAGGTCGGCATGTGGAAGGCGTAACGGACTGCGCAGGCCCTGGAATCACGGTCCAGTCAATCGAGGATTTGCACATCACAATTCAATTATCCTCTGTGGCGCAATTGGCTAGCGCGTCTGACTGTTACAGCTTGCAGTCATCAGGAGGTTGGAAGTTCGAGCCTTCCCGGAGGAGTGAATTTTTTTGGCTGGATGTGCGGCAAGATGATACATTGGTGTGGGTTGACGAAGGAGTATATTTTTGAGATGCTAGGGTTGTGGGTAGTGGCATGGAGTGACAGCTACCGAGGATCCATATGGCTGCGGCTTACATAACCGGTAAACGTCATAGATTAGCGCTATGGCCACGCTCCTTCCTGCGCGTCCTAACAACAACACCACGCGTCGACATATACACAAGACGTCGAAAGCGGCAGTTCATACCGCCATAACGCGATATAACGCGTGCTTCAATGTGATCGCGATATTGTTCGTTTCAAAATTCTCATTTGAAGTCTTTTGCCGCCTGACTGCCAAAGCTCTCCAGGGCTAGCACTATCCCAACGCACACTCCATACCAACCACCAAGCCTATGCTCGCCCACACACCATGCTATAATGTCACCTTCTTTCGATAGGCCTTGGGAAGTTGAGTCAATTTGGCCCTCTGGTCTTTCCACGGGCAACCATCCTTAACTTCGTGAGCGTCTTGCCTCCTCTTACGCCGGTCTCACCGCTAGACCCCTTGTCTCACTTGACACATCGTCTTCCTTGACCCAATCCTCGTAAGCTTTTGCATTATCACGGTCTCTGCGTGCTCGCTGTCTCTTGGCTTTCTTGGTATCTTTTCGGCGGGGTCGGGCGTGGGTCGTGGTAGGTGGACATGGTGGAGACTGCCCTACTTCCTGGCCAGTATCCTCTTGTTCGACACCAGGCTCCTTCTCGAGGCTTCTCTGGAACGCGGCTTGGTCTTGCAGCTTCCGGTATCGGTTCTTTTGAGGTTCGGTCGTCCTTTTCTCCTTCTTCAACAACCTCTGTTCTTCCGTCTTGTCTGCCACAGCTGCATCGTGCTCAGCCTTGAATGACTCGAAGATGGCCTTCCACTCGACCTTGACATTTGGGTAGTTGTTGCGTGCGTTCTTGACGTCGAGGTTGTAGCCCGCTAGGTATGGATGCACGGCGCATCCCTTAGGGGAGATGCACTGAAAGCGCTGCCCACAGATCACGACCTCGTCGTATGTATCTGACTTCTTGTCCTTGTCGATGACGGGAGCGAGACACCAGCAGAAGTGCAGCGCGCTAACACATCTGATTGATGGGCCGCCGCCACACTCCTTGTCTTCGCAGTGATGCTGTGGTTGGCGAGGTCAGTGTTTTCTCTCAACATAGGTCTTGTCCCTCCCGGCTACCTACAGCGCTGCTCATTCTCTCTTTGGTACGAATGTTTCTCATCATGGCGGCGTTGCTGTCGTTCTTGATATAGTGGCCGAATATCTCGTCCAGGTCCAAGGAACTCTGTCGCGCGTAGTTGGGCATCTCTGTGGCGATTTCATTCGATGTTTACTAGATCGTAGAGGTTTATGGGTAGCGCAATCGAGCAGATAGAGTCGGGAAAGTCGCGTAGGTCAGTGAGGTTGTACCTTTCGTCGGCAGAACGAGGGGCCACTATTGGTTGTTGCAAGAGTTGTACGCCTTTACTACTCGGCTAATAGGCACTATTTACATTGTTATTGTCGTGGTTGCTGCCTATCGATATACTCGGCTCAGGCTGCCTCGCTCGCTCCGAGTATCGCCGACATTGTGGCTATCTATCCCTACGAGCTTCACTGGAATCGTATCTGCCGAGAGCCCCCTGAGTACATCCCCACTCAAGGGCATGATGATCGGCCGCTGCGAGCCGTCACTCGAGCTCTGACCGGCCCACATCACGATAACCTACTAGTTGTTCTTCTAGCAGTGATTGACACACGACGATGCATATATAATGACTGAATCGTTAATCAAATAACACTGGGTTGCTCCTCCCCGATCCCACCCCCGAAAGAAACACACCGCATTAGACACCCCCGTCTTAGTACACTTATACATATACTAGAATCCTAGGCTCCTAGCTAGGCTCGCATGAGGAAGCATAGTCGAGGTCTCAATTGTATATGTAAGATGACAGTCTTTATCAAGATCGTACTCAAAGTGTTGGTAGTTACAATTAGGTGTTACATCCCGCAGCGCACATGTTACAAGAGACGAGGAGTAAAGATTATATGTAGTAAGTAAGACTATGCTCCATGCAACTTTATCTAAACCTATGTCATTTTCTTACTACATAAAATGATATGTACGATGCGTAATATTGCCTATCACAATAGACTTGATGATACAAAAAAGCCTTCGGCCAAGAGCAGTGTGGACAGCAGCTACCGCATCAGCCATGAATTGCGCCAAAGAACAGAGCAGAACGTCACACGGTGGAAGCCTAGTTACTATCTCTACATCTAGCCAAAGTAAGAAGATACAATTAACATACACTAACTAACACTCTAATACTCTTGATCGAGTAGTTGAAAGAGACGTATCTGCCTCGGTAGCGCAACGTAGCGTCCCTTGGTCCTCTCGTCCATCAATCCGCACGTGTTTCCCACTCTTTTACGACACATGCTTCCTTCGAAAGAGAGCGCTACTTGGGCCTCGTAACATCTTCTTCAGCTCCTGGTTTTCGTGTGCATTCCATTGCCAGCTCCAACAATCCTTGCCATCCGTTATGAGTTTCCAGATCTCTGATAAATGTCGACAATGTTACTATGGTATCGACATCCGTCTCCAGTTTGTACGGGGTTGCTGTCGTATGAAAACCGAACCTATCGCCCGCAGTCATGCGTAATTTGCTGCTTATAGCTTCTACCATCTCCATTGATCGTTGCTGGATGTCGTAAATAAGTCGAGAAACGTCCCTGGAAGCATAGGAGGTGAGTAGTGGTACATCGATTGATGCAGTCAGTGCTGGATCACCGATCTGCATCCCCTTGTGGCGGAATCTCCATGAGAAGCCAAAAACTGCATGAGTGGCGCAGGTAGTGGCGCATCGTGAATCGCAAGCTTCAACTAGAGCTCTCGTGGAAAGAGAGTCCACTGATTCAACATACCAGGACAATCCGACTGATACGCCACTTTGCCCAGAAATGGTGCGCCATCGCGGAGTGTACATTGCGACTTCGAGAATACCGTCTTCGCAATGCTTAAAGGCTCGGGACGTTTCTGTAGCCATAGAAATCTCCAGGAGCGAACCTCCAGTGCGCGCGTACCGACTGCCATCGGCACCGCGTGGTTGCATAGACGGGGCTTCCATCAGTTTCAGACCAACGTAACTGCCCATGTAGTCGTCTCTTTGTCCTTTGATAACATAACGATTGTACTGTTCGGCAAATTTGAAAAGAGAAGACTTGACAATGTCTAGCGCTAAGATTTGCTGGAGAAGCTGCCATACAGTGAGGTTATAATCGGCGATACTGATGAGCCTCAAGTCATTTTCGGTCCCCTCCAGTAGACCAAGTAAAGCGAAAACACCGTCTAGAGGGACTGATCGAGGTAACATTCCAAAATCCTCAAACAATGCCTCAAACGTCCTCCACCGAATTCGATAGTCTATGAGATCGAACATGATATTCTGACTTTGCTTTAACTCAATCCATCCGTACAAGAGAACGTGATCTTGCATGATCTTCTTCAACTTGCTGTAGGGGAGTTTGTCTCTCCCCAACAACAAGTGGACGTCTTGTGCAAGAATGAATTCCTGAACGATCCACATCCGCGACCAATACTCGGCTTTCCGAAGGTACTCCAACTGATGTATTCGTCGTGTATATTGGCGTTTATTTTTTATGCACCGATAGCACAAATCGATTATGTACTGTCGACTGAAAATGCCAGTATGCGGCAATGGTTTGTCGTAGCCGAGCCAGCTGTATACGCACTTGGCACCAGAGTATATCTGTTTCATCTCTTGAACTTGATGATTTCGCTCTTGAATATCGTCCTGGTTGATGCATACGGCATCTAACCATATAACCTGCGGCTGGTAACGGCTGCGGAAAGCTTTCAAAAAGCGGAAGAGATTGTCTCGCACTTGGAAGTGTTCGTCGTTCACAAGTATGGATATTGTTGGCTCGGGCGGACCCCAGACATAAGAACCAGCGATATATTGGTCTCGTTCGCGTGACATCGAAGAGGTGTATAATTCGCATTGTATTGGAGAACCTTGGCGCAGGCTAGGCAGCACGCGCAAAAGTCGGAAACTGTCGCCGTTATGCAGAAGAGGCGAGTACCGGGTAGAGGCAGTCTGCCGGACCTGTGTTGAGTTGGTAGCGACACTGGTGCTTGTATTGTTTGTTGACATAGCGAAATCCCTGGCCATAAGGTAAAGCCCCGGTTTCGACTGTGAGATGCAAGGCAGCAGTCTCGAATGAAGGGGGTTTCCGAGGAGATATACTAATGGGAGCAGACAGAAACGAGTGCGGCTGAGCAACGCCACAGACTTGGCAGCTGACATTAGGCCAAACCAATCACGTCCTCCGTGAGAAGCTTCGAGGCCATCATCGCACAAAATAGATAGCGAACTAGTTGGATATAATGAATCTCAATCATGCGAAGGATGACCACAAGGCTGCGATCATGACCAGGTGCCTGGCGCGATGTACTGGTCGTATCAACTCAGAGACCGACAGATGTAAGGGAAGCTGATTGCTTTGACAACGACGGAAGGCGTCGTGTGCATTGTGAGAAACATGGCTGCTGGCGTGAAACTGGACGAAGGGGTAGCATCAAAGAAGGCCGCTACCACAGAGAAGAAGCAGGGTATGTAAGGTATATATCGGGAATACGAGCTCGTCCGTATCGCAGGTCTTGCGGCTGGTGAGCCGCCTTGAAGCCAGGAATACCGCGGTAGGTTATCAATCCCCAAACTCGATGAACTCGCCGTTTCTTCCTCCCGACAGCTGTTCCGCCTTCCTCTCCCATTGTCCCATAAACCACAATGGCCAACCCCTCGCTCGCTTCCCATACGTCCGCCGAAGGGGCTTTGACACGGAGTGTGCAGTCTCGAGGTATGTCGCCCTAAACGTATTCCACAACTGTCTACCTCCGTCTTCTGTAGCAGCAGGATCGGGGAAGTATGGATCGTTACAGGTCACCGCTGTGACTAAACGCTGTATGGCGACTTCGGGTCGATCGAAGGAGAGGAGCGAGGCTTTGTCGAAATCGAGTATGTAAAGGCGCATTTCATCTGACATATGATGTGTTCGGTCCCATCGGTTGTGTCTCCAGTTGGGTTTCGACATCGGGGCGCCGAGAACGAGATTCGGCGGTGAGGAAGAGCAGAAGGGCTCTGAGGTTTCCAGATCGCTAGCAGGAATGACCTGCTCCCCATCCCAGTCATTTTCTCCACCAAGTACAAACTCGATATCCATACCGTCTACGAGGGCATGCCAATGTATGATAGCCAGGCCTGTGGCCATTTCTTTCGCCAATTCCATCGCCAGGTCATCGTCAAATGGAAAAGATCTGAGGCCCTCCCTTGTTAAAGGAAAGTTCCAAAGATTCTCCGACCTGCACAACGGTTCGTCCTCGCGTGTTGCCAGTCCAAGATATGGTCGCACAAGACAAAAGTCGTTCTCGGGATTGGTGAATACCGCGGCTTTTGATGTAGTAAACTCGTAGTGCGTCATCAGAGCGTGCCGAACCTCAGAGCCTAATGTAGGGATAAGGGACAGGGAAAACAGGAACGGTGCCGTCTTCTTATCTTCGGCTTCCGTGAAACAGCCGGCGAATTCTGCCCAGAAGTCTTCTTTAGTTTCATCTGCTACCCAACCCTTGATAGCTGGCACCCTGGGAGTGTAATTTTTGATTTCCCAGTCACGTTCTGACACCGTCAACGACCGATGTACGTGGGCCGTCAGCCGTATATCATTCCATAGTGCGTCTCGGTCCCGACCAATCTTGTATGCAGCCGTGGAGAGATCCACGCAGGTGTAGATGGTGCCGCATGTGCCGCGACCGATAACGTGAAGATTTACGGGGTTATCGTCTAACGCGCGCGCCGGGCTTGTTTGGAGGCCATCTCGAGGATTATCGCTCGCGTGTTCGTTCTCTGCTTGCGCCATGGTGGCAGCTCTGCGAGGAGAATAGGTGGTCTAGATTGCTATTAGAGTATCTGCAAGGTCTACGTTGTATCCTTCAACAGATGCGATACAGTTGCTAGATATTAGCCAGGCGCAGTTGACTCAGAGGGCGAGCCATGGTTCGTTCTAGCATAATTCTCCCTTCCAGGCGTGCCTATTGGAGCGCGCGCAGACGTTCGCATCTGTCGTGCTCGAGTGGATGTACAGGGTCGTCTAATTGCGATAGCTTGCGTGTATGGAGCCCGCATCTGTCAGAGGTTGCCAGGCGTTCATCGTGGTCATGTTCGTGCTCGCATGCGCGTGGAACAATCCGCGTTCTGGGGCCGTGCCCGGGCTAGACTGAAAACGCGCGACACGTGACTACGCGATGACGATGACGCCATCTCAGAACCTGCCACTTTCTAAGCGCGGCGAATGTCTGTCATGGTGCAGGTTTCCAAGGTTATATCGCTGTTCTACACGCGTTGGTTATCCCTCGATTAGGATCAACAGACACTTTTGTACAAGATGTAAATTACAGGACCTCTCATTGCGCTCGATGCATCGAAGAACATCGAGGCTCGTACATCGTGAGCGTACAGGTTTTACATACATCTTCTGCACATCTCATGCGTGCATCTACTTCATCATCCGCAAGCCATATAGCACATTTTCATTCCTCCACGAAGAATCTGGCCGCAAAAACGACATCGTTCTCACTGAACACTCCCTGCCTCTCACTCTTCACCTGCCTTAGAATGCCTTGTTTGTTCTTCTTGTCCTTACTCTCCGCGTACGCGATGACACAATCCCGGTTCAGCGATGGGTTGCTGTTCGTCTTCAGACGTGTGGGACTGCGAGGCTCTTTCGGTAAGGTGCGGTGGAGGTTCTTGCGTTTCTTCGTAGCCGAGGATTGAGGTGTAGAGGGTTCGTGGCGCGCAAGTTGAGGTGTCGTCAGAGTTGAAGTGAGCTTCACTGGGGACGGGGTTTCATTGCCGCGACGTGATTCGCGCAAGCTTTTGCGTTCCGATGAGCCATCCGCTTGCGGAATAGATGCAGGAGACGATCTAATAGGTGCTTGAGGTGACCGGGTATATGAATTGGGCTCCACATCAGGCTCAGGAGTTGTATGTAGGCTGGATAGAGGGGAAGATGTAGCAGTGTCCCAGATCTTAGAGTTCTGGACGACCGGTATCGCGATCTTGGACGATGGAGCTGCGTCAGGCGTGTTTCTCGATTTGGCGAAAGAGCGAGATCGACGTAGTCGCGCAGATGCTTCACGAAGTATCTCTTCTGGATCCTCGAACCAGAATGGATTTGCCTTTGGGCCTTGTACGCCAAGAATGTTGTTGCTAGAAGTTGTACGACGCGAGAGTCTTGATTCAGTTGCATGTATACTCTGGTTGCTTGAGTCAGCATCCAGCTGGTCACCATACAGCTTGACCTCCTCTACTTCAGGTCGTTCACCCGTTAAATTGGAGTTCTTGACAGTCGATGCGGGTTGTTTAAACACAACATTCGGTTGGAAAGCGCTGGTCTCTTGTGGGTTGTCGATAGCGAGGGGCAGGTCAGTCTTCGCGTGCTCTAATGGCGATGTAGGCGGCGGCGTTCCCATCCGGACCGTACTTTTTCTTGACCCGCGAAATTCGGTGCTTGCCTTCTCTGAATCAATGGATCTCTTCTGTTCATCATCTCCTGGGACGATATCCTGTCGAGTTGGATTCTGGACGGGGCGATTGGAAGCCAAGTCTAAACGCAGTTCAGGCTCCCACCTATGATCCACTATAATTGACCTATCTTGCCCATAGACTACCAAGCGTCTGACCACGATGTTGGAATTTGTCTTCATCGACTGTTTTGGAGGAGATGCTTTCTTCGGAGAGACACTTCGTTTTGGCTTTGTAGGTACTGAGTACAAACCTGCTGGCGGTAACGGCAGGGACAGTCTGCGATCAAACGGCGGAAATGACAGGTGTGGTGGCCGAGATTCCTGATATCCATGGAGGTCTGCGACTTGTGGTAACATGTTTGGCTTGTAGCTCTCGGGAGCTCCGCAGAAGTTGGGCCCCATACCGGACATGGTGTAGTCTCGACGCGTGTATTGGCTTTCGGGTAAGCCACCACGTGATTCTCCAGGCAGAGAACCCGCATGCGGCCTATGACTTGAGGGTGCTTGCCTGAGCCCTGGTAAATGTGTAGGAAAAGGTGATACGTACTGGTAACCTGGGCCCTGAAAAGCCGTGGGAAAGCGATCGAGCGGACTAGACGTCAGGCCGGCGTTGTCGCCCGGTATCTGACGCATGAGATCACTGGGTGCGACTCCTCCCAGTGTTGGATCCGAGAATTGAAAGGTATATGGTGATGGGAGCATGTGAGTCGTGTGCGAGTTTGGGGTCAGATCTGGATACATCATCTTCGGAGTGAACCCTGCACGCGAAGTGAGCTCCGCTTCTGGAATGTATACTGTGTCCCGTGCATGCGCTCTTCCAGTCTCCGGTGCACGCGGTATGTTGGAGGTATCTGCACTCTTTCGAACTGGTGAAGACGTAATTCCTGCATCTGTAGTGTTTGGTGCTATCAGTGCTGGAATGCTTGATCCGACACCAGCGAGTGGTGGATTTGACCGCGTCAGGGGTTCCATGGTTAGAGCTGATGGCAAAACAGGTGACATATCTCGCTTCGGCTGCACTCCGGACCGGAGAGCCCGTCTCTTTGTATGAGATCCATACTCTGGATCGCTGTCTCCTTCTGCATCCACGTCGATGACCTCTGAGCTCGGCTCGATGGTATCTTGAGGTTCCGCGTCACTCTCGCTCTTGCTAGGAGCATCGACACGTAGTTGCATAGTCCTGCCATCGGCTCCAAGCACGAACGGGTAACTCTCGTCGATCATGCGCTTCGGTGCCTTTAAATAGCCCACGCCGCTAGTGAGCTTCCTACCCTCTCCAGATGTGATGACTACGTCGATGACCCCGAAAGTCTTTCCACCTGGCCTCTGCATAGTGTATACCTGCTCCGGCATCTGCGTTGTCGCAAGCGCGTTGAGGAACTCGGCAGTGGGAGGAATGTTGCCTTGTTCGTCGGTACCCCGCTCGCGTGCTTCAGCTTGGAGCGCCTGACCAATGTGTTGCCATCGCTGTTCTACCGAAGGTGGTGTGTTGTTCTTCGCAGTACTGCCATCTGCGGCGACTCCGGGTGGTAGGATGATCCATGGCCGCTCAGCGAGAAAGTCGACTCTAGTGCCCGCGAAGACCTGGTGATGGTCTTTCGAGCCAGATTTGCCGTCGTAGTTGGGCATGGCCAAACACGCGGCGAGTGTTCCATTGAAGAAGACTTCAATCTTGAGCGATGTTCTCTGGTTGTAGAGGCCGGAGACATAGGTCTGGTCGGAGAGGTTGACGTGGAGGGTAAGTGCTTTCAGTGTGAGCTGCGAGATATCTGAGAAGCTATCGTTAGCCGCGGTGGTGCTATTAGTATTAGGCAAAAGGTACGCACCCTTCGGCGCACCCTGTGCGTCCCCAGGAGCTTCCTCTTCGTATATGTCACTCCCGACCCGGGTCTGCATGAAAGGCGCTTGTGCGAGCCAGTTGAGCTGGAAGGCGGCGTCATCACCGGGGAAAGGCACCTGCTCTTCCTTCAATAGCTTGCTCCTCAACAGCCTCTTTTCAGCTAATGCAGACTGCTGCTTGGCTGCCTCTCCCTTTCTCAGTATGATCTTTGCTGTAGTCGTATCACCGAGCGGAATCGCGCCCAGGCGCACCGAGACGCCACGCGCGAAGTAGGTAGGCATATTTGCAGGTGAAAGAATATACACGTATTATGACATGGCCGTCGCCAGAGGCAATGCCGCACTGCCTGGCAATGGGGTATTCTCGAGTCGGTTGGGTGCGGTAAGGCCGTCTAGAGCGTGTCGAGCATGGTGGGGGTGTATGGGGGACGCGTTGCGGTGACCGAGCGCTGCTGAAATCGCGTGACGTATATCGTGGGCTTCCGTTTCCGGCAGGTGCCTCCAGTGCTCTTTCCGCGCACTCGTCCTCACCGCCGTGGCCAGACTTACGTCTATGCAAATTCTACCTGACGTATAGCAATCTTAAATGTACCCAGGTGTCATGATAGTGGATTTGGCCAAGAGAATATACACGCGATGAATAGAAGTGATAAAGAAGCAAATCGAGCAGCTTTGAGAGAACCCGACGCGCCAGCAGACCATCTAGAGGGAAGACTGAGTGTAATCATCCCAATCGCAATGAGTCTATCCGCACGAGCAGATACTTACACAGAACGCCTAGATTGCGTAGAATTTCGCCTCAAAAGGGTACGCAGCTGACGGCAGCCGATACCGTGCATCAGAGCTCGATTTCACCCCCGGACTCAACGAAGCCTCCGCCGCTTCTTTGCTGCTCGGTGCCATTGACGCCCCAATCGTCGGTAATGATGCCAATCGGTGGACCGCCTAGGACATCGCCTAACTCGCCTATAGTCTTTTCGTACACACTCGCAACACCGCGCTCTTCCCAGTCCTCATCTTCCTCATCGTCGTCATTGTCCTCGAAGCCTTCAAAGGTCACAGTGCCTTGACGTCCACCTGCCTCTGCCTCTCCTTCCGTATCCGTGTCCATGGCCTCGCCCACGTCTTCCTCGTCACCCACTACGCTGTCTCCGCTCATTACACGGGTGACTGTGAGTCTGGTCCGGTCCACAACACCCTTCAAGCGAACCTTGTCTGTTGTGGTGACTGTACGACCGTTCTCAAACCCAGGTAAGAACTCTCCGGTCGCAGTATCGTGCCCGGTAAGTAGGGAGGAGAAGGCGTAGTCGAGTTTCGAGAGAAGACGGAAAGTAGCCTGAGCGGAACGCGTTGAGGAATCGAATAGTGGGAGGAAGTCGGCGGTGAGGACGGCGAGGTTGAGCAGATAGGGTACCTGGAGGTTCGGTGATCCAGATACCCAGACAACATCTACCAGGCCATCGAGGTCTTTTGCGACTTCCCAGAACGCCTTGTATCCTTCCTCCTCGCCCGGCGCTGGCTTAAGCTTTCGGTTCGTCATGCGGTTGTCCACTCGCTTCTGGATGCTGTTGACGCCATGGTCGAGGTAGCGTATCAGATCAGATTCCCTCGGGCCGCCGGGCTTCAACGGGTGTTTGCGTGCTTGTGGGAGGGGCGACGCGTGCTGTGACGGCGCGGACGACGCTGGAGGAGTAGGGATTTCGGCCATACTAAACACCCGGAGCCTACGTTGACTTTAGATCGCCTGATTTGCATAATTTTATCTTAATGTAGGCTGCAAACCTGTTCAGCTTTTCCGTTGTACAAGGTGATAGTGTGTATATGGTTCCAGGGTTTTGTTCACCGTCACGGTGGTAGGTGAAGACGCAAGGCAGTGGGTGAGGGGTGAGGTACAATCGTCATTCTACGCCGTAGGGTGAGCGCGTTCTTCTTCGTCTCGTGCGGGATCGACCCGCATCGTGAATTTTGAGCTGAGAAGTTGCACTGGTGCTGCGATAGCTGAGCGCGGAACTCCTGATGGCGGGATGACGTTCGCGGAAGGTTCCTCCGTCATCCCAGCCCGTGCCCTGGATCATCCCGCAACACCACCTGCATCGACAACAGAGCATCACCCAATTGTCGCCAAACCTCTGACACCGCCTGTACTTCTGCCGCTGCTTACCCACCAGTCTGTTAGTAGGCTTTGGCTTGTCACCAGGTACTCCTAATACCGGAGAACCTGCAGTGGCTGAGGTAACGATAGTTACTCTCACGGCTTTTCCAACGGACATAGGATACGTTTCCGCTAGGAATGCGATACGACGGAAAACTTGCATGCTTCGGAATAGCATGCCATCGGAGTTCAGCTGCTATGCCGTGTATCTCACAGCAAAGTAAGCCGCTGCCGCCATCGGCCCGTTCTGAGTGGCCAGGAGCAAGACAAGAGCGCTGATTAATCACCAGCGCGCCCTTCTCCAACGCGTGCGCGTGCGCCCTACATGCAAGTTTCATACGTCCGCGACGCCGATATGCATACCTAATTAAGCCGCCAACAATCAACCATGTCAGTATACTTGTGATGGTCCACCAGGCGCCGCCCCTTTTCTAGAAGTTTTCTTAGCTGCAAGAAAGGGAAAATTTGCTAACAAACGCAACTTCGGAGAGCCCCGATTGTTGGATGAGGTTGAAACGCGACGTTTATTGACTCTACCACTTAACGGCATAACGTTGAAAATTTGCAATGAAGCCTATGACAAAAGGTATCCACCCGTCGTGTACTCTCAGCGCGAGTAGTCAGGAACGTGTCGCGCTTGTTCAACATTTGTGGCATGAGCTCCTGTAAGGCTGGCTTGAGGCACATAACTGACCGCCAGAGTACCGCTATGGTTGGTGGGTGCGCCGCAAGCTAGCACGTTCGCGACGGGCAAGATCACGGAACCTGAGAAAAGCACATTCGAGACCGTTTGACTTGTGGAGACGTCCTGATGTCGTCCAGTACTCAGCTTTGCGGAAATGTAGAGACAGGCACCTGTATGGGCCTAGCGCACGACGCTATTGGAGTCAAGGGCGTGGTTTGTGATGGATGCAGGATGACTCCCCCGCGTATCCGACGGCAAAGCAAGCCATCGCTCAGCGCATCATCCATCTGCAGCATGCAACCTTCTCATCACCTACCAGCCCTAGTTTTGTGCCGCTTGCAAATGACTCAACCCAGGGCGTGCCTGAGTGCCATGTATAAGACAACCTTAAGGCCCACTTGTTTGTGGTGCAGTCCTGGAGCAGACGTCTTATCTTCACTCGCCACCTACTAGTCTGATCTCTGCCTATTCGCACTACCCCAGCTGCCCAGCTCTCAGCTTCTCCGCATTCGAGACGTCTTATCTGAGCAGGATTGTTCCCCGCTTTCTGGTGCGACCTTGTCTTGGCTATTGCAACTAGCAAGCCTACCTTAAGACACGCGACAGCATCGACATGTCTTCTTCATCGAACACATCAGTGTTTGCGCCACCAGACAGGATGCAGGCGCTGGGCAATCAAATCGGCTACAAGGTCCGCAATATCTCGCATCATGGCCAGCCTACCATCGTGATCGATCTCAACGACAGCAATGGCCACTGCCACAAGTTCATCACAAGCTATTCTTCCATGGATACAATCGAGGGAACAGTCACCATCACTGCACCGCACGACACTCGTTTTGAGGACATCGACATCGCATTCACTGGTAAGCTCAGATCATACACGAACTTCGCAATCATCGTATCTGACATAACACAGGTACAAGCCAGGTATATGTGGACAGGATGACGACTACGCCAACAATGACAGGACGAACAGAGGCAAAGCACCGGTTTTTGACTCTTAGACAGCCAATGGACCAATCAAACTTCCCCTCCCCAAGAATTTTTGAAGCTGGAAGACCCTACAAGTTTCCCTTCACATTTACCATCCCTTCGCAACTACTACCAAAAGCCTGCTCGCATCCAGTAGTCTCGGATCACATACGCGACGTACATCTCTCACTACCACCCAGCATTGGCGATCCCGATCTTGCTGGTTTTGGCAGTACACTGCTTGATGACCTTGCGCCGGAAATGTCAAAGATCACCTACGGAATTCAAGTCAAAATCGCGCACACTCGCGGATCAGAAGGCATCTCGGTGCTTGCTGATAAGCTGAAGAAAGTGCGCGTGAAGCCAGCCTTTGCAGAGCAGCCCCCACTGAACATTGATCACAACGACGAGTACCGATCGCGACAGGAAAAGACAGTCAAGAAGGGTTTGTTCAAAGGAAAGCTCGGGACGTTATCTGCGAAGACTATCCAGCCGCCACCTCTTGTCATTCCGGGCGCAAGATCAACAGAGGGCAGAACGATCACGACTATGGCCAAGTTAGTTCTCCGTTTTGATCCCACAGAGGAGACCAGCGCACCACCGAAACTCGGTTCATTGGGGACAAAGTTGAAGGTCGTGACCTACTACGCCTCAGCTCCTAGGCAGAATCTACCAACGCGGTCTACGCTCGGGTTCGATCTGTCGCAAGGCCTATACTCCGAGTACGTGCCGCTGTCCAACCTTTGCATCGCCTCCGCCCAGTGGGAAAAGCACGATGCGGCACAAAACCCTAGTCCAGAAAGCCTGGTTCGACGCGACTCCGGCATTAGCGATTGCTCAACTCTGAGCGAAGCGGAGAAGGCCTTCGCGATTGGCATCCTACCTGCATCCAAGGATTACAAGCAAGGTGCCTTCTACACAGCGCAGATCTTGGTGCCAATCACCCTTCCCATGACACAAAACTTCATACCGACATTCCATTCCTGCCTCATCTCACGAACATACACCCTCGCGCTGCAATTCTCCGCCCACGGAAGCTCGAGTATACACCTCAAGGTCCCGATCCAGATCTGCGCCGAAGGTAGTGATACTGGTATTGAGAATGCTAGGGCGAGGAGTGTCGAGGAAACGGCATTTAGGGCTGCCTCTGATGTGTTTGCACCACGCAGTGTTGCACCTCCAAGCCCAGAAACGGCTCGCAGCGCGAGTGTTGGCACGCGTGAAGAGATGCCGCCCGGCTATTCAGCTTTTGCGCCGCCCAGCACGAGGTACAGCGTGAGCCATTCTATCGTTACCTGAAGATGTCCCAGGCCGTCATGGTTGAACCAGTGACGGGATCAAGATAATTTTGTTGCGCAACAAACTGACGACTATCGAGCGATGTTTTTCTTGGAAAAGGATCTTGCTTTTCGGCGTTTTGGTAGGGAAGAGTGGCAGGGGTTTCATTCATCGCAGCGCAGCTCATGCTCTCTTTGGGTCGCCTTTTTTTATCGTTAGATCGCTCACCAGATACCCATACATATAGTAATGAACTTAATACGTTGTCATTCTCATCCTAGTTGCATCCTTTGCTCTTGCCCACTTCCGAGTAATGGTGTCATGGTGTCTTGGCACGTCCGTGCTGGCCCTGGGTAGCTTCCCAATCATCTCATCCTGTGGCACCACATCAGCACACCATCACGCACAAGCATCGCTTTCCATCAAACCAACGTGAAGAAACAATGGCCGAGCATCCGTCTTTCACATTGGCAGGCCTGTGTAAGTGCTACGACGCCATCTGCGTGTCTAGGTACATGAGAGCTGACTGAGAAATGATGTGCAGTGGCCGTCGGAGGAACTGCTGGCTATCTCCGAACACGCTCAACACCAAGCCTTGTCGCTGGAATCGGGTTAGGTGCTTCGTATGCTCTTGCTGGTAAGCTGTTTAGCCCATTGCACGTGTTTCTGGTTGCATTGAACATAATCAGCTGCTTGTGGGCGCTCCAGCTAACCTGCAATCTAAGGCTACCGAATCAAGCAAAACCAGGATTACGGCACTGAACTTGCGCTTGGCAACAGCATCATGTTGATGGGCTCTGCGATACCGCGCATTATGAAGACCGGCGGACGCGCGCCTGTGCCGATCGCTCTGGGTGCGACTGGTGCGCTGGCGACTTACTACTACCAGAAGAAGGTGCGCGAGTTCAGGTATGGTGTCTGAGAAGCATTCACTCTTCTTGAAAAGAAGGCTATCATCAAACGGCGATGGCGCCTTGTACAACTACTCAGGGTGGCTATATACTACCCTGCTCTACTCTTGAGTATCAATACCCCACTCCCATTCTCTTCTACTGAGTAAATCCTTTTCCGCGCCGTTTCCTCATCTCCAATACCCTCAAGCTTCGGGCTTCGCTGCGCAATCATCATTATACCATCAAGCTGCACCCACGGACCCGGTGCCATCCAGTACCGCAGTGTTTGATATATGCCAAAGCAAGACGACAACAGTACGATCGCGAGGACGGCAACGGCTACCCACTCCCAGCTCAGACGCGGACTGGACCCGTACAGTTGCCATTGAATGGGATAGGATACAATCTTATCTTCCGATTGGGAAGGCAGAGACGACGGAAGAGGAGACCAGTACTTGTTGCTCATGCTGAGTATGTTCTGGAACAGGATCCCCATGACGATCGACAGGCCCATGGCGTCGGAGTTCACAAGTGGATCGATTGCCTGTAGGTTGCGACTCATCAATAGGAATTGCGGCAGCAATCTTGTTGATGGAACCAATAGCTCAAGCCTCGGCATGACGTCCCGTGCCTGCATACCTACTCCATTGGCAACATCAAAGTCGCTTGCAGTTGCGCGGCCGTAAACGATCTTCTGGTTCAATTCAGCACCGTAATGGTTGAAGCTAAGGTCGGGACTTTCCCTATCCACGATCCACACATTGACTGCGTATAATCCATGTCGGAATAAGCTGGAACAAGTGGCACCGGCAAAGCCTAGGGATGGGACTGGTCCAAAATCGGTCATGATCACGGCTTCCGACGATTCGTTCCTAGCTGGCGGCCGCACAACGATTGACGCCTCCGGGTTCAATGACTCCATTGGCGTGCAGACAGTGTTCAGTACTGGCAGTACGAGCGTCAGGTTACCGGTCCAACCGATCGATGAAGATGTTGGCTGATGGTCCGTGTTCTTGAGCCAGTCGTAGACACTGGTTACTTGCTCATCGTCTGCGGAGGCCGTCTCGACTGACCCATTTGATAGGCCGAAATCGGTATTGAGTGCAGTCCAGCGCTTCCATGAATCTCCGTCCAGCCGGTAACTATACACATGCCTCCAGCCTTTCTGCGTTTCCTTTACCGTGGACACAACATGCGTTAAGCCGGTGAACGCGAGAGAAGCGGACATGCCGAGCGCCCAGTCCCATGGTGGGTAGCCTTCCCCTCCAATATTGGATTGGCCGACACCAAGGATGTTTAGCCAGTCCACGCCGAGGAGTGATACTTTAGGATGCTCGATCCTCATTGTCATTCGGTCCTGTGCTGTCGTTTTCCAACGTTTCTGATAAACAGGATACCAACGCTTCTTCGGTATAGCCACAGTGTTCACGGCCAGGCCTTGCAACATAACCGAGACAGATACGCAGAGACAAAGCAAACAGCGGGCAACGCTTTTCCAGCTCAAGCTAGACCTTCGCCACCTTGTGGCAAAGTTGCTAACAGTCATCCACGGCTTCGTCAACTCCTCCCTCAAACCAAAGTCGCTGTACTTCACACCACGTCTATCACCCACTGCTGTAGTCTGTGCCATCCAGACTGTGATGAAGAATGAAGCCATGTATTCCAAGGAGCTCACCAAGAGGACATCGAGGCTCTTGTTAAAGAATCCAAGAAAGGCTAGCTTGAGATCCGCATCCACTTCTTCACCGAACACACGGGTCAGGCCTATGGAGATGTATGTGCGCATCGCTCCGAGCGAGATCCCGTGGACGGTGTCTGATCTTGGCGTATATATTCTTGGCGACTACCACGACTCTTTCTCTGATGGCATTGTCAGTTCGAACGAGATGCAGCTGCCGTGCTCTTACTTCAAGGCTATCAGTATCGCTTTGTAGCCGCGCATCCTATTCGACAAACTGTTCGCTGGGGCCTTGGGAGTCATATTCTCGATCTGTGTACAAACGGCTCCTTCGCCGCTACCCGTCAGTTGCGAGGCTGTTGGTTCTCACAAGCAATATCAACACAACACTAGAGGCTCAAGGGCGGCTATATCTTCCATGGTAAGCATGCAAGGCTGAGAATGTAGCGAGGCTGAAAGATATGCCCACGGCGTATTGGCTGCATGCATGACAGCCACAAGCTGCACGAATGCTCTTTTGTGCGACAAGATATCCGCGACTTCCACGAATCACACCTTCGAGAGAGGTAAAGGCCTGTTTTTTCACCGTTGATAAGCGTTGAGTTTAAGAATACCAATCACACACAGGCACAAGAGCAACGCGTCATCCAAGCCCGCGGATACTAAAACAAACGACTGCGACTCTTTTCACGAGCTGCTGAACGCGTCGCAAGCTTTAAATGGGCTGGGATTGCCAGAACCCATCCCCATAGGAGTGACGTGTGAGCCGAGCGTGCCACGGCCGCCTTCCGCGCGTCCCTTCCTCGCCGCATGGCCAACAAGCGGCTCCCACTTTCTTTGCGCAAACCCCGTGATAACCGCCAAGAACACCGCTTGCATCAGTATAAATCCACATGCACACCATCCATCGGGTATATGCCAATAGTGTATGTCTGTCTTTCCGCTCCGACAGGCTCGTTCGAAACCCCAGAGGCAATCCGGATGTTTGGAAAGACTTGGAGGATTCGAATCACCGCATAGCTAGCTTCCATCAATGCGTAATCCTCTATCCGGAATCAGCATTTCGCGACTCAGAAATACACCGTTGTTCGCTTACTACCTAGACAAAGTCTTGGGCCGCCATTGAAGTCGACGGATCCAGCGCCTGGACGAGCCTTCTTAATCAACTCGCCACTCTCCCACCTTTCTGGCCGGAACACTCTTGCGTCTGGACCATGGATGGACTCAATACGGTGTAGGTGGTATACCGACCAGACGATCCCGGCACCCTTAGGCATGAGGACGGGGGAAGTGCCATCTGGGCCTCCGCCTCGGGGCAATACGGTAGCTTGGTTCGTAAAGCGGAGATTCATCGGTAATGTTGGGTACAGTCGCAAGACTACATTCGTCAACGCGTGTCAGAAATCTGGCAAATGTGAAAGATGTTCAAGATGGACTGGGCTTCGAGACGTCAATGACATGCGCGTCGACACCACGTATCCAATATTCGATTATAGGTAATTGCAGCAAGATTCTATCTACTCATTGCACGTTGAAGTCATCTCCATGCAAGAAAGTCCAAACCCAATCATGACTACCTTGCTGAGCTTGGTATTCCAGCTTCACGTTCATGGTCTTACCGAGTTTCCCCTTCATCTTGTCCAACCCATCTAGTAATTCCTTAGTTGCCTCAGCATTGTACCCATAGTACGATATCTGAACTTGAGTCAACGCCGGCAATTTCTTCAATTCCTTCGCAAAGTGTCTCGACATCCACCTTCGTGATATGTACTCATAGCGGCCAAACTGTACCTTATGGACAGCCTTTTGCTGAGCACTTGTCGCGTGGTTGAGCCAATATGTTAAACTGCCAAAGTCGTAGAAGCGAAAGATGCAGCAGCTTCCGAGTAGATCTGGCGGCAGACACGAAGGAGGGCGAAGCGGTGCCTTGGTGCGGGGAATTCAGACGCTCGCTCCTCAAACGGGGATCTATATTTGAGTGGCTTAATAGGTCCACCCCATGCTGGACGGATGATAGGGTTTCCAATAGCGAGCTTCCAGATCATGGCGCGGATTTCGGCAGGAAGTCGTAATAGAGGCGACTCTTCGGCGTTTCGCTGTACGCTACACTGGCATTAGTATTGCAAATTTAGATGTGATGGTGCTGAGCTTACATAGCAATTTCGCTACCTATAGATTTGACGTTTAGTAAGCCATCTTTGGATTTGTGGTAACCGCGCTTTCCTCGGCGAGGCTTGTCGTCAAATGTGTTGATCTGAGATGTAATTTGAGCGGCCGACATGTTGAGTTGAAAGTTGCACGGGTGCGTCGGTGGAGCGGTTGAGAGGAGACGAATAAGCCGAAGGTATAATTTTTAGATCCCAGATAAGGGCTGCTTGGAGTGAAAAGCCGCTCGCTGTGTGGCATAAGAGATGCATGATGCTAGTGAAACAAGACGCTAGATGAATAGGCTTTTCCAGGCAAGGACCTGCAGTTTACTCCGGCATTCGCAATGAAACCAGACCGATTTCGAGAACTTTTGCCAAAGAGGGACAAGAAAAGCAACCGTCGCAAATCCCCAAGAAACACATAATGACCTAGGACTTCCTCGGACTCCTGGTGAATTTGATCCCGCTGTTCTCTGTCTCATACAGACCTTTTATGAACTCCCAGCCACGTTTCCATCGCCTCTTGCTAAGCTTCTTGTGGCTTACATTTGTGATACCAATAGCAAGCTGTACACACTTGAGAGAGACCAGATTCGGAGACAATCGTTTATCTCCGTGGCCGAGGAACATGTCTCGCAAATCTGGTATGCCGTCGTGAATGTCGCGCCATTGATCCGGAAGCGAGAACTCTACGCATGGATGAAGGCGTACCGACGTGACAGTTTCAGCGAAGACCGAGGGAAAGTCTTCGATCCACATATTAAACACTTGGGGATGTACAGCTGAGAAGGTGTTCGAGCTGAAGGGTAGCAAAGCGGTTTCAGCAAAGACTTGTCGGCAGACAGCGAGCAGAGCGAGGGCGTTCTCTGAGATCGTCATGTTCTTTGCGATGCCTTGATATTCGAGGTGATGGATGTGGAATGTCTTGCCACCAAGTGCGTATCCGAAGATCATATGGCGAATTTCTGCTGGCAACCGCAGTAATGGGGAGTCCCGCTGGTTCTGTCTCGCGCTATGTTCAAGTCAGTGAACCATTTGAACCCAAGTCGATGGAAATACTGACATCTTGAGGTACTTCCCCGTCTTTTGCTCGACATTGAGCAGGCCGTTTGCATGAAAGCGAAGCTTCTTGTGACTGCGCTTGGCTACTCCTGCACCAGTGGAAGCCTTCATGCTCTTGGCGACGGTCGCAGTCTGCTTAGGCTTTCGAGATGCCATGATGAGGCTGTCGATGAAGTAGGAGGTGTAGAGTAGATGTCCAAGGAAAGGAGTAGAGTAGACTACTACTTATGGAACTGCCGGGCCCTAGCGGTTAGGTAAAGGCGCAGGTCGGGCTTACTAGGTGAGTCAGAAGAGATGAGGTACCTGATACGAGCCGGATGTAGGAGGTGAAGGTGGGTGAGACCAGATATAATGTCAAGTAGCAGCACGAAGTAGAGGGTAAAATCAACTGACCATCCTCATCTCCAACGGTACCGGCGCTCGCTCATACATGTCGCGTGAGGTGAGCGACGATACGGCGTGGATATTAGATAGCAACCCATACTCAGTGATTCGTATCACCATCAACATCGTTCCTCCCCTCGCCAATCTCTGACACTGCCACGTGCTTGCCGATTCGCTCAACGCACGGTCACACGCTAGTCTTACGCTGTTGCCTTCGTAGTAGTCCTCCGCTGCCAGGTCTTTCGCCGCTTTTACCTCAAAGGTCAATCCATCTCTTGATTGTACCCCAACCCAGAACACCGCGCATTGCTGGAACAACCTCAGTAATTCCGACGACCTGAACCATCAATGGCGCCCCGCAAGACCGCCGCCGGCGACAAAGCTCCGAAAGCACCTGTCACCAAAAAGTCCGCAAACAAAGTCATCAAGCGACCGGCGCGCGGATACCACAAATTTCGAAATGGCTTACTGAATGTCACACCCAAAGGTGATGAAAAAAAGCTGTGAGTGTAACTAGTCTTTCTGTAAGAGCAACAGCTAACAGTCTGTCAGCGTCAAACAAAATGAGAGTTCTCCGCTGCTTCGTATACCTGCTGAAATCCGCAATACAATCTGGAAGCTTGCATTGGGAGGGAAATTGTATAAGACAGATGCGAGAGGGAAGTTCTATCCTTCACTAGCAGAGCCGAAGAACGCCACTGCTCTTCTGAGAACCTGTCGTCAGATCTACTCCGAAACCGCAATCATGCCGTTGGCTCTCACGGTGTTCTCCATATCTTCTGTCCAGCGGGCAAAGAGATCCTTCGGAAGATTCAAGCTACGGCAGCGCAAACAAATCACGATACTGCAATTCGACATCGTTTCGCCCGAAAGCGTCATAGAGCTCACAGAGTTCTTCTTTGTGCGCAACAAGTTTATGCTTGCTGACTCGCTCCCCGCGTTGCAAGAGCTGCGAGTTGAAGTATACTCGGCCCAAGATCCAATTATGACCCGCGAGAAAACGGAGGAGGCTGTACACGAGTACCTCGAACCAAGCATCCGAGAAATGTCGGTCGAAGTAAAGGTACACCAGACCAATCGACCATGGTCTGGTCGTTGAAACTTGTAAGTCGACCAGATATGAAGCTGTCCGCATGGAACCATGCTAATGAAGCTATAGGTTCGATCCTGCAGTCCTTCAAATCACTTGATGATGAGATGTTTTGGCTATCTCATTCGACGGGTTGGAGACGGTTCACTCGCTGAACAACTCAAGTCCAACACGGCAGGAGCACTCACGTATAGAATAACGACACTTGACAGCGTTGCGGCGATCTCCCATTTAGCTACTTATCAAAAGTTGTGCTGGATATTGAGATTTCTTGCGTTCGAGATTAGTGCTATTCTGGATAAGGTGCACCAGGGAGATAGATTGAAGACGCTGCTCTCATGACTTCAATGCAATCAATGCTCCCGATTCTTATAGATTGTAGGTGCCGTGACCGTGGTCCAAAGAAGTCGCTAGATATGCCTCGGCGCAACCAAAGCTGCTGATCAGCTATGCGTCTCTTTCCCTCCTTCCGGTACATGTCGTTATCTCAACTTCTTGACCCTGGTTCTAGTAACAGTCAGTACAATGATACGGATAGTATGTTATGTGGTTGTGGAGAGAAGTGGTGCTCAGTGAGAAGATTATGAGTCGTCTTGGAAAGCGCCAGACGAGTCAAGAGATCAGGCCGCAAGCAGTCTTTCACCCTCGTCTCAAGCCTGACGCCGGCTACGCCTAAGGATGATAACTAGGGTTTCATCATTGCATATGGGAGTGAAGAAAGAAGGGCACTTACGACTTGAGTCCGGCTGGATGTGTTGTATCTGTTCCAAGCCAGCATTTGTATTGGAGGGGCTGCTGCATCGATTGAATGATTGATCATCAATGGTCGCCATTGCCCGTTCAGTAGTCGAGATCGAGTGTCTCGTCCTTTTGCACGTCGGGCCCGTTGGCCTGGTGCCAGGCGTCCCATTCGTCGCTTCCATCGTCACTATCGCCGCTGTCTGCGCCGTCGCGCCCGCTCCGTCTACGCGGCAAGCCTCTCTCCAGCCTTCTTTCTTTCCTCCTCTTCGCGTATCTATCCCGCTTTCTCTTGGCCTTGGCTTTTGATGTGGCACTGTTGGTCGCCCACTGTTGCTTCTTCGGTTCTGCAGACGCATCAGGCTGCGTCTTGTCGGCATCAGCCGCGCGCGAGGAGCTTTCTTGGGTAGGTGGAACCGTTCCCACTGGGCTTGCAGGGACAGCGTTGTCGTCAGAGACTTCGCCATTCTCCTTCCGTACTCGCCGTTTGCGGAACATTGCATGGATCTCGGAGTGTCGAAACATGGCGATTTGCTCATCGGTCAGGGTGCGCTTCGTGCCGTCGGGGTAGTAGCCCAGCCCATCGTCGGCTTCGTCGTAATATTCATCGGCTACTTCTGGTTCCGCCTCGAAGCCATAGAGTATATACTCTGGCGGCGGCGCGTGTGGGAAGTGTTGCGCATGGAAGGCGCGTAGGTCGTCCTGAGCTACTTAGCGACTGCCTACGAGCGCGATACTCGACTGCTGCACTCACGGTGGTGACGGTTGGTATCTGAAGCTCCATGGCGGGTATTGGAACCTTGGCGCGACTGGATTAGACGCGCTCCAGGGCGCGGGGTGTCACGTTGGTGAAGGCATGTGAGGAAAAGAAGAGTCGGTCCCCAAGCTCGGAAGGCACCCGTGGACCCGTCGCGTGGTCACGAGGTCTTGGCTTCACCGCGGCATGACGTCTGTGCTCCCATCTTCAACGCCGCGTTCACCCAGAACCTGTAACGACACCCTAATGCACCATCTGGAACGATCATGAAGCCCGTCTCTTTCGTCGCATACCCTCTCGCAACCATCGCCCTCACACTTGCCACGTCTGCGCAAGCCCGCCCCTTCGACAGCATCATCCAGTCGTTCAACATCCTCAGCGAACAGTCACCTCTCCGAGACTACATCATGAGCAACCCTGAAGGCCAGGCGACTACTGGCGTCATCATTTCAGATGTCATCGGCAAGACGCAGAACATCGCCATCTTCAGCGGCCTGACACGTGACATCGACGCAGTCTCCGGCCGCCTCGACAACGCCTCGCAGAATGCCACAGTGCTGGCACCGAACAACAGTATCATGCGCGACCTGAAGAGGAAGCCCTGGGAAGACCCCGACGACTACGACAGTTTCGGCGCGGACGCATATGAGGGCACCAGCGGCCAAGACCGAGCGCGGGGCAACCTCGAGCGCTTTGTGCAGCGCCACATCATACCGGAGAGCCCATGGGAGGAGGGCAAGAAAGTCAAGACGCTTGCCGGCAATGAGATTTGGTGGGAATCCAAAGACGGCCAAAAGAAGGTAAGTCATGCCGCTATGTCGGTAGTCCCGCCCTCTGGTTGGCACTGCCCCGCCATTTGTCCCACGCCCACATAACCAACAATATATTCGTATCTCGTTGTCAATTTTCCATCAATTCCCTGTATAGGACAGATGGCCGAGCTGGTTATGGCGCCAGGTTAAGGTTTCTTAACATTAAGTCTACGGTAATTCATTACCTCCAAGACATCCTGGTCACGAAAGTGGCGTGGGTTCGAGTCCCACTCTGTTCAGCATTCGTCTGGCTATAGTCAGATACTCCAGGATCTTTTTTTGCCCATGTTTTGGTCATTTTTGACCATTTTTGGATTTTTGCCGACCTTTACTTACTGACATACCTACCTGGGTTGGGTTCTATTTGTTCTTAGCTAACATAAGCCTACAGATCCAACCTGCCGACGTCGAAGTGACCAGCATTGCCGACAAGGTGTCTAACGGCGAAGTTTGGGTTCTCGGAGGCTCTCTCGCATAAACACGGAATCTGGAATATCCTGCGGGTCACATCTATGACATCTCAAGCGCTATTACCCGCCTCTACTCTCATGGACTATCCCTTACGATCGTACATACTTGTTTCATATTGAGCATTAGACGGATTCACGATAAGCCTGCATCGACTGGGTGGTGGTAATGGTCCCTCTAGAACATAAATCTTCTTTACACTGTACTGTGTCGCGACGAATCTGCTTGCTAAGCTGCATGTAATTACCGCTTATCTTCACAGACATCTATTCAGTCTATCAATTTCTATCCCGCCGGCCATTCACCAGACCCCTTCCAGTTCATCTCAAACATTTTCCTCATATATCTCCGCCTTCTCATGTCCACTTCTCCCCAGGAATATCTTCATGCTATCCAACACTTGCTTCTTCAAATCCGGCCTCTTCAGATTCTGCCCTGGAAACCCTCCGTACGTCCTGTCAAATTCGAACGGCTTGATCGCTTTCCAGATTCCATGGATAGCCCTGGGCGTTAGTGGAATCATATTGGGATACGCCCACATGAACGAGTACGATGTCGTAACAGGGACGCGGTGCGCGTTGTTGAAACCAGACTATAACAATTGTTAGCAACCGTGACTCCATTCATGAGAGAATAGGAGGACTGACAGGTACACTCATAAACGTATCAGCGATGAAAAGCTTCCGGTCCCACCACAACACTGAGCTGCCGTCGAAGTGCCCGCCGCATTGAATCATTTTGGCCTCGCCCCCAAGTTCTTCAATCTCAGTGACGCCCTTGACGAACTTTCTCACACCACTTTTATCCTTCCGATTCAACCACGCCCGATCATCACCACACATATACACCGGGCACCCGAAAACACTCGCCCATTCCAAATGCGTCGTGTAGAAATGCGGATGGCTGATCACAATCGCCTTTAGCCCGCCCTTTCCCTTGATGAACTCAATCGTATCAGGGTTTAAGAAAGCGACGCAGTCCCAAAGGATGTTTCCGCGGGATGCTTGTAGTAAGATGGCGCGTTGCCCAATACCTAGTTGCTTGCGGGTCGTGCTAGAGTCGGCCAGACCGGGAGGGAGTTCTGATGGAGACAAAGGCGCAGTGGTTATGTAGTGGATACGAGGGTCTTCTTTATCCGTTTCAAAAGTGTTCTTTTGAAGGGATTGGCAGGCTGAGAGCGAGGTCCAGGATTGTCCTGATGCGGGAACATACTGGCGGGGGTCCTAGACATTGATTAGCTTGACTGCGTTAGTGTTTTGTTTCCTGGCTGTGCTGTTTCCAGATTCTTGGTGTTGGTGATGGACATACATCGCAGATCCGACATGTCTCCGGGTGCTGCTCAAGCGGAACGTCGAATTGCGTGCCACACGTTTCGCAGACGGCTAGGTTACTAGGCTCGAAACTCATTCTGTCGATATTTGAGGTTTCCAAGGTTATATATCAAACCACGACTTAGTCGGGGCGGAAAAGGCAAGTGGATTGGTGAAGATGCCGTCATGCTTGCGATGTGTGATGTAGTAGCTTCAAAAGTGGGGTTCGAGAGGGGAAAGAGCAGCTGATGAGAGCTTCCTCAATGACAGCCACTTTTGGGCCTGCAAATGCATCGAGCGAGACTTCTTATTACCATACCGCGATATCACGATTGTCAAGTGGGTTCAAAGTCGCGTCAAAGTGTGGGGCTTGCTTCAGCATATGCCCAGGTTTACTCTGGTACTCAAAAACGGCGAATCAGCAAGTACAAGCACTGCATTATGCGTATTAGCTGGCTTCGCTACATCATTCGACTTATTAGCTGCGAAATTCAACGGTTTCTGAACACTCGGGATGGTTGATGGAAATGTTTTCTGCAAGGTAACGATATTGGAGTTCCGCGCCTGTAACGCCTACGCATTCTATACGCGTCAAACACTATACATATCGAGGCTTTGCCTCACGTCCTATCGACTTCGAATCAAGTTGCGATTTGGGCACCGCATTCGTGATCCTCGACCATTCGCCGTTGAAAGCATTGACGAGCCACCACTTGAGCTCTGGAATTCCGTTAGTTGTTTCCTCATACCAATGGCACACTGATTCACTTACTGTCGTAAACAATGCGATTCGCGTTGTGGAAGTAAATACTATGATCCGAATCGGGGAACACATGGACATCGTAGTTTTCGATACCTGCAAGATCCAGCCGGTCAAGCAGGGTCAGCGTGTTTTGCATGTGCACGTTGTCATCGGCGACGCCGTGCATGACCAAAAAGCGGACGTTCTTCGCTAGGGAAGTGACGTCGGTGATGGTGGAGTTGTCGTAGCCTTCGGCATTGTTCTGTGGCGTGTGCATGTAGCGCTCCGTGTAGATGGAATCTGCAGTAAATAATTAGCGAAGTAGATGAGTACCGTGAATCTTCTTACCATAGTACCGCCAATCAGTCACAGGAGCGACAGCCATTCCATACTTGAACGTCTCTCCTCCATCCTGCTCGAGCGTCTTCAGTGTGTTGAAACCGCCGTAACTCCAGCCCCAGATCGCGAGTCGATCAGCGTCCACGTACTTCTTGCTGGCCCAGATTTTGGCCGCGGCGATCTGATCGTGCGCCTCGTAGTATCCAATGTTGCCTCTCGTGATGCATCGAAGCTTCCGACCGAGGAAACCCGTACCTCGCCCGTCCACTGTCACCACGATGTACCCGAGACTGGCGGCAATGTACGACTGGAAATCAACCTTGAACTTCTTGTTGACTTCCTGCGAGCCTGGTCCGCTGTATTGGTAGAAAAGAACAGGGTACTTCTTCTTCGGGTTAAAGTGCGGTGGACGACGCTCGAGGACGTTCAGCTCGAAGCCATCGACGTTGATTGTCTGATAGTTGAGAATGGGCATCTCAAGCCGACGGACGAAGCGGTCAAGCGCTTTGTTCTCCTCAATGACCTTCTCGTACTTGTCGTTGTTCGATGGCGTGCTGATGATTTTCTGCCATGGAATTCCGGGTCCGTTGTAGGTGATCAAGGCGTAAGAGCCACCAGCTGAGAAGGAAGCGTCGTAGTAGCCTGAGCCTCCATTCTCCAGCATTTCGCTCTTTCCAGTACCGTTCAAGAGTACAGAGTATACGTGTCGTTCCATGGAGCTCTTCTCAGTTGAAACGTAGTACACCAGGTTGTTCTTCAGGTCCACGCGAGAAGGCGCATCAACGACTTCCCACTCGCCCTGAGTGAGCAATACAGGCTTGTCACTGTCCAATGGTGAAAAGTAGCCGATATGGTCGTAGCCTTCGTGAATGATTGTATCAATGTATCCATCATCCTTGCGGCCGTTGCCAGGATCAGCCGGTACGAACGTTGTCTTCTGTGAAACCTCCATCCAGCCGCCGTCCAGCTCAGCGACGTTCTCGGTTCTTACTGTCTTGCCAGTGCGCTTCTCGACGTCCATCAAGACGAGCTTCAAAATGTCGCTCTCGCGATTGGTTTCACGAACAAGTACTTGCTTCGTCTTGCCGGCCCAGACGATTTCGGTGATCAGACGGTTTTCGTCACTGAAGTCGTCTTCTATCTCGACACTGAAGACCTCGCCCTTTTCGACGTCGTAGAACTGCAGTGAGACGATGGGGTTGGGGGCGCCTGCCTTGGGGTACTTGATGTCGCGAACCTCGGGGTAGTTCTCTTCGCCAGCCTTGGGCTTCTCTCCGCTAGGCCGTGACACGAAATATTGGACCGGGTATGTCGGGACGGTAGACTCGTCGGTACGCAAGAAAGCGATGTACTTGCCATCCTCAGACCACCATGTCGCACTATTTCCTTGGAAGACCTCCTCCTCGTATACCCAGTCAGGTACACCATAGAAGAGCTCAGAGCCACCATCTTTTGTAATCTGTATAACCTCCTTGGAGTTCAGCTTGCGCAGGAACATGTTATTGTCTCTCGTGAACACGACCGCATCCGACTGCGGAGATATCGAGGCTAGCTGGATTGCGCCGTTTGGCTGGTCCGGATCCAAAGCTTCGCCAGTCTGTGTCTCGACATTAAAAATCCAGTACTTCGCAGTACCGGAATGTCGCCAGTTCTTTTGGTAATCCGACGTGACCAGCACCTTCTTGAAGTCTTTACTTGGCTGAACATCACTGGGATAGACGTATGTGCCATCCACCTCAAATGTGTTCTTCTTCATCAGCGTGGTCTTGCTCGCAGAAGACGTTGCCTCGCCCTTGGACCTTATGTCCTCAACGACCAAGTATTCCTCGTTGCTCGAGCCCTTCTCAAGCAACAAGCCATCCTCGCCCTTTGGTCCCGGTATCCATGCGACACTCTGTTGTTGGGCATAAAACCGGCCTCCGAAGACATCGTCCAACGTGATCTTCCTCCCCGAGCCCTTGGTAGAACTAGCAAGAGGGTCGTGTGGCCTGGACGAAGCGTGCTTGTAGCTGCCGTTCATCAAGAAGAAGACGAGCGCAAGCGCCCATCCAGCTACACAGGCCGTGCCCACGATCCATAGCCACCTCCTTGTCTTTTTGTCTACAGCAATGGGGGCCTTGAACCGCCCATCCTCGACGTCGAACGGCTCGCGCGCCTGGCTTGCGTCGTCATCGTCGTCCGTGTACTTCTCCCCACGCTTCGGTTGCGACGCACGATTGAGGGACGGGTCGTTGATGTGTTCGAGGACGAGCGAGGTTGTGGAAATGGAGGATATGGATGTTTCGGAGCCGTCTTCTGAAGTGCGCGCGGATCTCTCTTCTTTGGTTAGCAGCTCCGTCTCCTCCTCCTTCGCGGCGCGCTGTCGCGGCATGGTAATGATCAAGTATGAACAAGAATGCAAGCAATTATAACATGATAGTAGAAGGCGACGCAGGATCAGATGAGACCAGCCTCAAGAAATGGGTATAGTGGCAAGGCGCGGGTGCGGGTTATGAACAGTGTCCAGCTGGGCGGAGTTGCGGAGTTCACGCGGAGGTGCGGGAGCTGGTGTTGGCCGAAACGCCCCAAGCCACTCTTCGACGCAAGGGGCCGCCCGCGCTGCACTAAGACTTGCATTACAATGAGATTGTGCGACGCGTTCCTATTCAAGCCTGCTCTGGGAATTTATTGGAATGCATGGCGCTACAAACTGTGCCAAATCTAGATGGTATGATTTCCTTCCGCTGTGGTCTTCAATACAGCCACATCTGCTCTGGTTCTGCAAACCCTTGAACCAATTGAGCAATTGCCTTGCTCCCTGCGAGTACTGATACAGCCAAGAATTCGATATCTCGCTTCGTGTTTCTACCGACGATGTTGATTTGTGCATGAATTGCCAGATGGTCCCGCCGAACAATAACATCTGTTCTGTAGTGAAGATGCCTGTTTGAGCAGACTGCTCGCGCACCGGCCCTCCACAATGGCGCATACTGTCAATAGCCGTCGACTCATTCTGCTATGATGGCAATGGGCCAAGGTAATCCTAAAAGCTTTGCTTAGCCGATGTTCGGCAAAGCCGACGTTCATCTTTCTTACCTCCTTCATGGTGCCGACCGCATACATCTTGTCCACCTCTGATCTCAGACCCTTGATCTTTATGCGGATGTTGGTGCCCTTCTCGATAACCTGCTCTCCGTCGTCGGTCCACTGCGGGGGTGTAGCGTTCGCGTCGAACTTGATTTCAGCGGGGATCATCTGTCGCTGTTAGTGATGGATGGAGGCATGAATTAGGGTGAGATGTACACTGCGTCCCACAAAGGCCTGCAAAGATCCACAGTCGACGAAGAATCCGGTGCGGAGCACTGAGGTGACAATGCCGTCCATCTTGACGTTATTAGCAAAGGACTAGATGATCACGTCGGACGCTTCCACATACCACCTCGCCCTTATATGGCCGCCATACGACCGCCTTGTAGTGGACAACGTACTCCGCAGAGCCGGAGCCAGGCATCACTTTGCCATCGGAGATGTCGAACGAGTCCAGAATGCACACGATGGTGTACTTTCCCGTGCTCGAACCCTCCTCTTTTTGTAGCAGCTCGCGGTGGATGTGCTGACGGATGAGCGGGCCAAAGTACGAGGGATGCAGCTGGATCGTCTTCTCAAGCTCTTTGAGGAAGAACATGTTGCGCGTTGTACGGCGGATACGGTAGAGGAGATGCGCGGTGTGGACGAGTTGCACGGTTCAACGGTGAAGATCGAGACAAGGTGAAGACAGGACCGTCGTCCTTGCTATTATGCGACTTTATTGTCTTTATGCTGAGCGGCCCAGTCAAGAGTCGACAGTATGCGGTAGGCAGCGCGCGTGCTTCAGCGAGACGCGCCTTCGGCCTCCAACGCAGCCCTGATTCTTATATGCAACAGCCCATGCACCCAAGTTGCAGTGTGATCGCGGCGCCCGTGCAAGTCCGAGGGTACAGTGGTCGCAGATGTGGGCGGAGTGAGTGTCTTGTAGCAGGGCAATGGTCGCGACAGGAAAGGTGAGCTCCAAGGGCTGCAGGGCTCTCGGCGCGGAAAATCACTCGCTAAGGCCCGAGCAGCGACCCAACTCCCACCTGCCAGCTTGCGCACCCCCACACACCCATGTCGTGATACCCATTCACCCTGCGCCATCATCTCTCGGCTCCCGCCGCCGGTGCCTTGGTCCTTCCACACTCCCCGAGCTCGACTCTCCATCCTGCGCTTCCAAGACATGATTTAGTCTCTTGACGTCCATCCCACTCTTTAGCACGCGCCCAAGTTCCCCATCCGGCACCATGTCTCTCAATCTAGAGAAACAACTCGTCTTCGTACGTCATTCTTCAACAGATGTCTGTACTTGGCTGACTGGAATCTAGTACGGAGCATACCACCATAATAAAGTAGGCTCCGTCGTCAGAGGGCATCTTCACATGTCAACTAACATGCCATGTGCCAGGTCAACGTCGGAATACATCTGCTCTGTGTACCTCCGATCCTGTTGACGTCTTTCCTACTGGTGAGGCATCAGACTGCCCTCATCGCGGCCCCTCTAACATGATAGTAGCTCACCAACACGCCTGCCGTCCCCATACCGTCATGGCTCTCGGTACCTAATCTCCCGCTCAACGTCGGCACCGCCGGAGCCGTTCTGTACTCGACCTTGTACATCCTCATGGAACCTGTCGCAGGTGCCATGATTGCCCCAATCCTTATCGGCAGCACCGCGTATGCGAACCACCTCACGTCAACGTACGGTGCGACTGCCAACTCGTGGGCCGGCGCAATCAACATCGCCTGCTGGATCGCCCAGTTCGTCGGACACGGAAAGTTCGAAGGAAGAGCACCAGCGCTTCTGGACAACCTTGTGCAGGCCATCTTCCTGGCTCCGTTCTTCGTCTGGTTCGAGATACTCTTCATGCTCGGCTACCGCCCCGAACTCAAGCGCCGGATAGACCAGGCTGTTGAGTCGGAGATTCAGAAGTTTAGGAAGAGCAAGGAGAAGGGTCAGAATGGCTCCGCGAAATGAGACGCGACTTGACAACGGATGTACAGCGCCTAAGCAGCCAAGGACCCAGTTATTGGCACTTGCAGGTTAATCGAAGCAGACATTGGAGGACCAGAAGACAGTGCAAATAGTGTATGAATACTGCAGGAGAAGGAGCATTGCGCAGGAGCAAGGTGTACGCGGCGTCTTGAGGTATACGTTGTCTTTGGTAGTCAAGTTTGCATAAGTGGCAGCGAGTTTTTAAAGATTCACATAACATAGTAGGATACCAATTTAGAATGTTGCTATTTTACATTTGGAAGCCATGCTATTTCGACCGTGATCTCTTGAGTAGCCCGTGCTGGAAGAATACTCGACACATTGGCGTAGCTTTTTTTGGCTACTACAGCAAGACACTATGTCGTACACAAGAACGTATTAACAGCTTTAACATCCACGATATGGCGGAGCTATCGTAGTCTTCCTCGCTGTTCGTTTATGTAGATTGCAATATGGAGGACGGTCCGTCGACATGTGTTGGAATGCGCCCTTGTATGTGTTACAAGTACTGATGTATTGGAAGGGCGATTGAGGCAGATACGCCATCCGTACAATACATGCTTTCAGTCGATACCAATTATCTGATTCTGACCGTATGAGATTGCAAGGGAGGCCGTGATATCAATTGTACCGTACACCGAAACGCAGTCCGAAGGTATCCACAAACATTTACTTTATCTTTATCAAAGTGTGGGGTACTGACCATGTAGACGAGGATCGTGTATCGGATCGGGATGTCGTACGAAGAGGTCAACGCAATGATGCGTAGCAGCTGAATGCTCCGTTTCGTTGTCTAGCATTTCATTCAAAATCGCCAGTCAAATCATGGCCCGTCGAGTGCCAACGTGGTGTTGCAGTGAGAGAGCTCGGTTGAGATGCGGCTTTTTTAGGATTAGGGTAGACGCCAAGGTCCGCGCTTTCCTCCCGAACCGCAGGACTTTCTTCCTCACAGCAGAGCTCCCCATCCTGCACTCCATCACCATCTCCCCTCTTCCATACCTGCATCAATCTCAATTGGTTGCAGAGCCTCCGAATTAGACTCTTGAGCAGCTGCAGCCATGTTCTCAAGGGCCATCCGCCAGTCGAGCCGCCGGGTCGCTGCAATCTCTGCCACGAGCAGGATTGCGTCGGTAAGTCCATCGCAACCGCCTGCAATTGCGCCTGCCGCCCGTCCAGCCATCGCCAGCAGCCTCCAGAACCGATATCCGATGCCATTGGCGCCGCAATGGAGCTTCGTTGATGGAACTGCCCGGGCTGCGCGGCGGCGGGACCAGCTCCCCTCTACCCAAGTGCACCACTGACGCCTTTTGCCCGCCCACAGACCCGCGCTCCCGCGTTCACCAACGCCATCCGATCCTACGCCGCCGATGCGAAGGCCACCCCCACCGAGGTTTCCTCCATCCTGGAGCAGAGGATCCGCGGTGTCCAGGAGGAGAACAGCCTCTCCGAGACTGGACGTGTCCTGTCCGTCGGTGACGGTATCGCCCGTGTCCACGGCATGAACAACGTCCAGGCTGAGGAGCTTGTCGAGTACGCCACTTGCACAGTTCGACAATTTGCCATGGAAGCTAACGGGGTGACAGGTTCGCCTCCGGTGTCAAGGGCATGTGCATGAACTTGGAAGCCGGCCAGGTCGGTGTTGTGCTCTTCGGTTCTGACCGTTTGGTCAAGGAGGGCGAGACCGTCAAGCGTACCGGAGAGATTGTCGACGTTCCCGTCGGCGAGGCTCTTCTCGGACGTGTCGTTGACGCTCTCGGTAACCCCATCGACGGAAAGGGTCCCCTCAAGACCACTGAGCGCCGCCGTGCTCAGCTCAAGGCCCCCGGTATCCTGCCCCGCCAGTCCGTCAAGGAGCCCGTCCAGACTGGTCTCAAGTCCGTCGACGCCATGGTTCCCATCGGACGTGGTCAGCGTGAGTTGATCATTGGTGACCGTCAAACCGGAAAGACCGCTGTTGCCCTCGACGCCATGCTTAACCAGTACGCAAATATTCCTCCGCCTGCAAGCAACACAAGCTGACATAAAGATTAGACAGCGATGGAACAAGGGCACCGACGAGAAGAAGAAGCTCTACTGTATCTACGTTGCCGTCGGTCAGAAGCGATCCACCGTTGCCCAGCTCGTCAAGACCCTCGAGGAGAACGACGCCATGAAGTACACTATCATCGTTGCCGCCACCGCCTCTGAGGCCGCCCCTCTGCAGTAAGTTCTATCTGTACGAGCTCACCTCATACAAGAAAAAAACTCGAATAGGTCTGGAGCCTACATCGACGCCAGGTCACATATCATGTGTGCTTCCACGTTGATGTAGGCTGCAGGCCTGTTCG